CTGGTTAGGATCGATAGTGATCACCTGGCTACACATGGTCTGACCACCCTTGTAGAGGCAAGCAACCGTAACATTATGAACATGGTTAATGTACTTGCCTTGTCCATCACGAGGTCCGTCTTGCGGCAAAGTTCGTGGCCTCCACAGCCCGTGCCCCTTTCTTCCTTGGCTCGCCGGTGCTGGCATTCCTAACTAATAACTCTAACTCTTTAGATCTTTAATTTGTGTGTGTTTTCTTACAAAGTGCCAAGATATACCAAAGTTTAGAGCCTTTACTCCTTTTATAGTAGTAGGTGAAGATTATTCCATGGACTAGGCTCGCTAGACTTGCTTGATTCTTACAAAAGTATAAATAAGATATGCTAATATTTTAGATTCGAGAAAATGAAACAATTATTATGAAGTTCCTAATATCTATTTATCTTGATTTGAACTACTCGCTCCCTTACTTTTTACAAATTCTTTATATGCTCCTAAGATTACCTAAATCAACACTCTTGTACATTACATGTTTGACTGTTTGAAGACGACATGTGGCCATCATCCAATGATGTAATGGTGTAGGCGTAAGAGCTTCATATACTTCTTCCGTTTCCCTAATATATATTACAACATGGGATGGGAACACATATTTTATGAAGAGAGGAGAGATACAGAGGATTAAACATAGGTACCTATGTGATGAGGAGGGAGAGAAAAAAAAAAACATGTGTAAAAAGGGAAAGTAAAAATTGCTATGATTAATCCCAACTTTGCTCCGTCCGTCAATATTAATCCCAACTTTCAATTATTTTTTACTAATCCGAACTTTATACCTCGTCCGCCCATAACACTCCCAACCGGTCATCCAACCTAATATTACAGGTTACAAGACACGTGTCAGCATGTTGGTGGAATTGGTGGCAGCTAGAGTGTCGCAAGTGGTTGCTGTGTTGTTGCGGTGGCTTATCTGGTTGTTACGAGGATGCGTTGTTATTGGGTTGTTGTGGAGGATGGAGATGGCGAATTCAGGGAGCAGGGGAGCTGCGACCTGGTGCATGTTGGTGTCTCGGTGGCTGAAGATGGTGGTTGCGGATTGGTGTTGCAGGGTGTAATTGTTGCTGTAAATTGGTGCTGATTGGTGATGGCTGCAGCGCCGGCACCGGGGAGGGGAAGGGGGTTGGGCTGGTCGTGGGTGGCTGGGTTATTGGGTTTTTTTTTATCTTTTTTTTTCTTTTTTTTTTTTTATCAATCACATGTTGACATGTGTATATTAAAAAAAATACCTACTCAACAGGTCAGCCGTCACTTGGGAGTGTTATGAGCGGAAAGAGTATAAAGTTCGGATTAATAAAAAATAATCCAAAGTTGGGATTAATTTGGGCGGATGAGGCAAAATTGGGATTAATCATGACAATTTTTCCAAAGGAAAACGTTACAATATTTATGATACTTTCTATAATGATAGTTGTTGCAATATTTGTGAAATAGGAAAAGTATATTATTAATTTTATTCTATATAGATATAGATATTTTCATACATCACCAAATCTATACTAATATTTAAAAACACAAACTACAAATCACTTCTATGCCACATGGCACCACAAATCACTCATATATCATATGTCATATGTCATATGTCACCTCTTTTAATCTTTCTTTTTTACAAACCCTTTTTAATATCAAACTTAAAATAAAATGTTAAAGTCTTTATGCATTCTATAACTTACAAATTTAAGTAAGAAAATGAAGTGTTTCATTCCCACCATATTAAAATAAAGTTGAACTAATTAGTTTACATTAATACACATATGAAATACAATAAAAATACTCTTTTCATCTCCTAAGCTTGAAATATAACTTAAATCAATATGTCATTTTATATCCAGCAATATTCATGTATATGTACCTAACTAACTAAATTCCTTGATCTTTTTCCACAGTTCCACCCTCGCTCTCTCTTTCTTTAAAGTTTTAACAGTGAGCTTTATTCACCTCAATGATTATGAGACAATTACTTCATATTTTATATCAAATAACCCGTGCATCGAACGGGCCAAAATGCTACTTAATCTTAATACGGAGTATTTATAATATATCAAATTATCAATGCATCATTATTGTGTCACGTGTCCAAGCAGCCATGCAACGGGCCAAGAAAAAAAATCTTGGAATAAGATAGAGTTTTTTCAATAATGGGATCAAAGTACAACATAATAAACTTAAAAATAATCCATAAAGGGATTCTAAATTCGGATTGAAAGAATTTTGACGGCTCCTTATTCTTCCTTTCATGGCCAATTCACTCTCGAAGGGCTACTAAAGCTTACTCAAGTTGTAAACTTTTGTTGCTACTTTGGACCAATTGTCAATTTAAGCATCTTATTTTCTCTAGAACTCTTTGGCTTCAATTTTACCTAGTAATCCATTAGATATTGGAGAATATATTCCTGTACATCGACTTGTGACTTTAGGCTGGATAAACACGTATGTCATAGCATATGTTCTCCTAGTAATTAATGTCTTAATCATCAACTACAAGTCTACAAACGATTAGTACATTTTTTTGCCAAACTTGGATTGTCTATAATATTGCCACATCTTGATACATGGTTGGTTGGTTGATTATTGTTATATCCTCATAAATACTACGAATTATTTATTATATTTTTTTTTTTTGATGTTTAGAGAGCCACATGGGCGGGTGATGAGAATCGATCCCAGGATCATCTGGAATCAAGAGAGGAGCTCTAACCACTTGAGTTACCCTCACTCTCACGAATTAATTATAATACTAAATGAAAGCCCGTGCGATGCACGGTTTTTTTCATACATAAATCTCAAGAAAATATATTTTCCTATAGACTCTAAGTTTATATATATATATATATATATATATATATATATATATATAATTATTTGATTTATTTTACTATTTAATAATTTTAGACGAAAAAAACACATATTAACTTAATTAAAGTGTTATTGCCTATTACAAAAGTATAATTTTATTTTAAATGTAATTTATTATGCAACGTTATTTATTGTTGTTTTGTATTTTATTTGTTGTTGTTAGTTATATGACAACTGAATTTAATAATATGAATAAATTGTAAATATGAAAATTTTTTGTAAATATGATATTTTATCGATTACATATTAGGTTAAAATCTTTAATGTGAAAAGATAATTTTTTTTTTATTTTTTGAATAATTTAAATCCTAAATAACTATTAGTTTTTTTTTTTTAAAAAAGAAATATTAAAAAATAATAAAAACATCTATACTATTTATCTTCTACTTCAATAGAATCACCTACTTCGTTCACACCCATATCTCTTCCATCTAATAAAAGTGGATAAATAAAACATGTTAGCAATATATATATATATATATATAAAATTAATCGTTATAGTCTTATAAAATAAATAAATATATTTACCAGGAAGTGAAAAATTGTTGTGAAATTGGTCAATTATCTACCCATAAATGAATGATCAACTATAATTATATTTGTAAAAAATAAAAATAAAAAAAATAAAAAATACTACCGCTCCTATAAAATCAAGTGTAGATTTTGATCTTAATGCAAAAATGCTATAGATGAGCAAGCTAAAGTATCTTAGATTAATATAAATGGTTGTTGTTTAGTTGACTTTACAGGCATAACATGTTTTATAATGTTTAAAGTTAAAAAGAAAACGTGCATGAATTACGGAGTTTAATTGACTTTACAAACGTAATGTGTTTTACAATGTTGAAAGTAAAGAGGAAATGTGTCTGAAATATGGAGTTTATTATCTTGTACAGGTTTAACGTATATTATAAAGTTTAAAGTAAGAAGAAACATGCATGAACTACAGAGTTTAGTTGCCTTTAATTTATAGGCGTAACACGATTTACAACATTTAAAGTAAGAAGAAATGTGACATGAATTACAACTTTAGTAAGAAGAAAAGTGTGTAAATTACAGAGTTTAGTAAGAAAAAAGGTGTATGAAAATTATCAACTATATTGATTGACAACTTTGTCGTGTTAAATACATTTGTAGATGTTTGCTAGAAAAAGGATAAAGTTCTGAACAATGATTATTGAATTGTAACTTAGAATAAAATCTTATTAACATTATTGTCTTTGGGACTTGCTCTACTCCAAATAAAATCTAGGTGTGTTGAGGAGGTGGCATCTTGATGACTAGTTTCCTTAAGGTGCTTCACATCATGCTTTAGCTCCCTAAACTAGTTTCAAACCTTTCAACAGGAAGTCAAAAATGAGATACTTTATCTTAAAATAGCAAGTCAAAATATGATTTGTAACACTTGAGACAAATTTATCTTAAAATTCAATAATTTATTCGGACATAGCCCGAGCACAACACTAGTTTGTATTAATGAGATACTTTAGCCAGCTCATCTATAGCATTATAGCATAAAAATCAAAATTTACACTTGATTTGGAATACAATCAATCAAAATCACAAATTTAAAAACTCAATTAGCATAGTTTCTTCATTTAGTACCAAAAAAAAAAAAAACTCGCAAAGAAAGACGAAAATCAGAAAATCACTAAACTATCCAAATTCGGGCATAAAAACAATTGTTCTTGCCAGGGGCGGATCCAATGTAGGTTCAAGTGAGTTCAATGAACCATTGATTTTTTGAAAATAAATTGATATTTTAAAAAAAAAAAAAAAAAACAAAAATTGTAAAACGGTTAAAATGAATTTGTGTAGTGAATGTCAGGATGTAAAGGTGTAGCCCAATGGATTTTTTAACCTCATATTGTATATGGGATTATGGGTCCATGACTCCGTGAGAGCGTGATGCATTCCGCCTTTAGTCGTCCTTCACCGAATGAGCGGCCACCTTCAGTCATTCACTAAATCAATCTGTGTCTCCGTGACGCTTTAGTGAGTTCAGTCCTTCACCATACCGCATACGCCATTACGCGGTATTTACGCCTCGGTTTAGTGAGTTGCCCAGCTGTCGATTGTCTGGCGAGCTTGCCTTTCCGGTTAGTCGGTTTCCTTTAAATCTTTAATGCCTATTTCTGCCTTGCTGGCTTGCTGTGATTGTGAATGCTCAATACTGTCTTTCATAATTTCAATTTCATTGCTGTCGATTGTCTAATACTCAAAATTGTCTAATTGGAATTTGTGAATATTGTTGAAATTGTCTAATTGTGATTGGAATTATGTTGGGTTAAACAATAATTGAAGAAGACCTCTTATTGTTGGAATTATTCCTCTTAATATTTCCTTAATTTTAAAGCAAAAAATTAAATTGCATAGAGCAAGAGGATTTGTAAAGGATTACAAGGCTCATTTAAAATTTACATAGAAGCTAAAAATCCCATGAACATAGAAAAATCCCTACTTAAAGAAACTAACTAAAACATAGCTCTTGCAAAAGGGCAAAAAAAAAAAAAAAAGATCAAATTCAGCCCCACCCAAATCCATTACAAAAGGTACTATTATTGCAAATCAATTGATTAATTTTGCTTCATTTTTTGACTTTTTGTTTAGAGATTCTAATTTTTTCCTTCAATTGTTCATCTGGGTGTTTGATTAATGTTGTTCATTTTAGACATATTATAGGAAATTGATCTGGGTTTATGAGCTTTTTTGTTAATTTTGAGTGTATATTGTTGTTGGGTTTTTATGATTTTATAGATTTGTATTTATAATGGTGCTGATTTTCTTGGATACTGTAAATATTCGAGGTTTATGTTTGTATCATTGACCTGCAGATTGTTGAGCTTGCAATTAAGGCTCATTGTTTAGGTTTTTGACTTCTTGTACTTCTTATAAGTTATTGGTCTGGATATTAGAGCTCTCACGTCAATTCAGAAGTCTTAAATCGGTTTTTAATTTACAATTTTTGTTCTTTATGCTTAGAAACTTGCAGTTTTGTTTGATTTCGGGTTTCGGCTTTATGCTCGTAGTAATCAATCTGATTCAATGTATAGCCAGTAATATAGTCTCATATTCTAGTTTCTTTGTCAAGTTCTTCCCATTATTTCCATAAATATATGAGCTTGCTCGCCAATTTTGCATCAATAATGTGTTTCTAGAATTATCTGATTAAATTTTGCTCATTCATATGTGTATGATTCTGGTTGGTTGTCTATGTTTTCTTGGTGATTTATCACACCCCATCTGACCTTTCTCTCTACCTCTTTTAACCTTTTGAATTGAACCTTGAGAGGAAGATTTGGTTTCGTTTAAATTGAAGTTGTGGCGATTTTTGTTTGTGAACAAGGGTTACTTCATTTTGTTGCTCAAGCCTGAAAAAGACTTCACTGCCATTTTTGCAGCATGTGACTGCTTATGATTGTAGCCTTCACAATCTGCCTTTTTTAGCTAATGATTATTCTTAGGTTTGGCAAGACCATCTATCGATAAAATGTGTGTATGTATGTGTTATCTGGGATCGGGGGAAAGGTTTATGATAGGAATTAGGAAGAGTACTTGTATATATCAACTATCCAAAAGCGAGCAAAAAGGGCAATCTGATATCAAGTCAGTGTGTATCTATAGGAAAATGACTGGGTGACTTACACTTTTATTTATTTATTTTTTTTTCCTAAATAAAATTTATTTATTTACATATATTAAAGGACTTTCCCTGTTCAAGGTGTGTCCTTTATATTTCCTAGACACTGTCTCCTTTGTCTGCCTACAAAGGTACAAACACAATTACACAACCCAAACTACTTTCAGTTACATGTGATTGAGCTATGGATGAGTGTTGCTGTTGAACCTCTTTGCCCATATCCATGAAAATGAGAGTATATCCTGAATTTGCTCTAACCTATCACCTCTGGCAAACTTTTTTTTATTGATGTATTATTCTAGCTATTCTCACTCAATTATTTTTGGAAACCTTTAGTGCAAGTTGCCAAAATCTCATTCTAATCAAGTATTGTCTCTTTCTGTAGTTATCCTATAGTTTTTCTAATTTCTATCGTCACATTTACATTCCAAGTCTTTAGCACCAGATTGTTCCAAAATTGTTATGAAAATAAAATAAAAGAACATTTCATTTGAAGAGACTGAGACTTGTCAGATGTTTTCTGGAATTTCGTAGGGTATTTTGGGATTACTTTGTCTTGTGATATTCTTTGGGATGCCTGAATTACTTCTTTGTAGAGTAGGGTAGCAATTAAGGATTGCTCAGGTTTTGTGTATTGTGTTTCCGAGGGGGAAACATCTCCCTTTTATAGGGTCTCGAAGTGTGTGCCCAGTCCTAGGTTACAGAAACCTAGAACTGTTTGGGCTGCCTAGGAGTTTGGGCCGTTGAAGGCTGCCTTTCCTAGTTGGCAATCTATTTGCCACGTGTCGTTCTCTAAATGGTCCACTTTAGACTCTTCTCTGAGTGACACGTAGCGGACTCTGGTTGTTTGGAGGATCTAGATTGGTCCACGTGGCGAGATAAATCCCCTAATCACATACCGAAATTTATCTTTAAATGAAACTTGGATAACTTTCGTATGTGATTGTCCACACCGTGTGGCCAATCATCATGGGGGTTACTCAATTAGTGTTATAAGGGTTACTCAATTAGTGTTATAGGGGTTATCCGGTCAGTGTTACAGGAGTTACTTTGTTGGTGTTATAGGAGTTACTTAAGGGGTCGTTTGGTTGGATTATTTAGAATGGGTTGGAATGGAGTTAAAATCCATTCCATCTATTTTTGTATTTGGTTGAGCTTTTTAGTAATGGAATCTCATACCCAAGGATTCTAACTCCACCCCATACCTATGGAATCTCATACCCACCTCTCCCCCTAAGATTCACATTTCATTCTATTAATGAAGTAAATAATCCATTCCAACATTAAAACCAAACAATTTTACTAGTATGGGTTTAAGAATCCATATCTCTCTAATATGAGATTCCATACCAATCAATTCCAATATAATGAACCAAACACCCCTTTAGTTAATGTTATAGGGATTACTTTGTTTTTTTCCCTAGCCGCACACATTTTTTTTTTTTTTAATAATTTGCTACCTATTTTCCTTACCTACAGTCCAGTGTCCATTTGTGTTTCCTACCTTCCCTTGTTCAAAGAAGAGAATACTGCAATGAGTACAAGTGAATCACCGGTGCCATCATCGTCACCGGCGCCGGTGCGACGGCGGGAGAGTCCATGGGGCGTTTCAGAGGGCGATCACCGCCAACCCAAGCCCCACCGCTGCAACGACCGAGCCGAAGATGTAATTCAGGTCTTTCTCTTTCTCTCTCTCTTACATTCTTGCCTTCTCTTCCCCCTTTTCCTAAAACCCTAATTCTTGCTTTCTTTATTGCAAATTACCCCTTTTTCATCATGGAATCAATACTGCTCTGCAACTTACTAATTTAGCTAGCTATTCAAGCTTCTCATTATGCTAGATTCTCGGGAATCCAAGTAAAATTGCAGGTGGAATAACAAATTAGGGTTCTGTTTGTATAAGATTTATTTGATTTACTCAATTTGGAGTAAATTTCAGAATGATTCTGGGTTTATTGTGCTAGTGTTAGTATATTAATATACAAGTAGTGACTATTGTCTGATTTCCTGATCAAATGCAGAGGAAATTTTGATTTTGAGGTGAACCATAGTTACTAATTATATGGGCATAGTTCTATATACCTCTCCACATATGTTTTTTGTCTAAGTCTCTAGGGTATGTTGCTAGGAAGTGCTTAGCCCCTCGAAAACTGATGTGCCGATTTCTTAGTTTGTAGGAAGTGAAACTTCTTTATGCTTGAACGCCTTAATCCCATAAGTGGAGTCGGCTACATGAACCAACATGAGGACATCCCAGGAGGTCACCCACCCTAGTACTACTCTCAATCATAGTTGCTCATGTCAAGCGATGTGACAGTTTTACACCGCTGTCATTGGCCTACCGTAACCCTCCTTTATTTAGGCTTGGGATTGGCAGCGGGAAACCCACTGGCGGAGTTGTGGGAAGTGAACTGATGAATGATAAATGGGATGGCATATTTGGGCATGTTGTTAGTTATGGGTGTTGCTGTGGTTATATGGGGAGGTTTAATGAGTGGAAGGAAATGGAAATCTGTATATATTCGAAGGTGTGATCGTGGAAATATAAGGTACTGAGTAGCATTGTGAATGTGCTTTCTTGTGGATTTTAATAGAAAGCTCATCTGGATATAGCTGGCGACGTTAAAAATGTGATCCCAATATTTTTTCCAGATTACACAAGGATAGATTTTTTTGCTTCAGATTTAGGAGTTGAACTCCTTAGTGTCTTTTCAGCTAGCTGCATCCATGGTAAATAGCTCCTTAAGGTTTAAAAACATTTGCTGATCCAAAGACTAAAAATTGATGGGGGTTTGAACTCGTTATGCTTGAAAACTAATTCCAGAAATAACTGAAGTATACATTGGTTTTATATTGGGTGCAACTGCACAGGTTAAACCTTTTTTTTTTTCTTTTTTTGTTAATGATAGGAGCTTTTTCTTACAGTAAATGTCACTGTAAGCCTAATTTGCAAAGCTGTAATTTAAGTTAAACCTGGTTGCATGCATTGCTTTGTAAATCCCATAAGTGGAGCCGCCATTATTTTCAACTCATCTGTCAAAACTGCGCTATCTTGAGTTATACTCAATTTCTCATGCTTCTAACTTAAGTTACCTAAATTACTTTTGGTAGCACTTGCCTGGTTTCTTAAATTTTCTTACTCATGATGAGTGAACAACTGAACATACGGAGTATATCTGTTTAGGAGCTCCATTTTGAATACCAAGTCTTTGCTAAATCATACAAAGTAATTTGAAGCATTTACTAGTTTAGTGCATATGGAAATGAATTCAATAGCAGTGTCTCAAAGATATTTTAACTGATAAAATGGTGATTTGGTAGATTGTTGAGGTTGTGGGTGTCTGCTTACTCTCCCATGATAGAACTACCTCCCTTGGCTATATATAACCCTTGACTGCTCAAGTGATAACTTCTATCTCCTTGGTAGATTTAAGTGGAGGGAAATAGTTAGAATGACAGACTCTGACAATTTTTCAGTGGATTTCGAGAAGCTCTGGATACTGGAGATCTTCTGATCCTCATGATGCCTAAAGTGATTATCTTTCATGTTGGGAAGCTCAATTTGAGCAAAACGAAGTACGAATTTTTGCCCTGGCACTGTTTAGCAAACCATTCTTTGATTGCTGTAGGCTTGTTTTGAAGGAAACCCATTCAAGACTGTTCCAGGCCCTTTCAAGCTTTTCTATCGATGCATGCGCTCAAAACCTGGGTAAGTTTTCTCTTGTTTACTTGCATTATTAGATAGTTCCATCACGTTCTTCAAGAGATTACCTTGTTTCTATCACAAAGACTTCAAGTAAATTGAGCTGTTCTCATGACACTTGATTTTAATGCAGGGAGGAGCCAACAGAGCCTTTCTACTACTTGGAGCTAGATCCACCAAGGAGAGAAGTACAACTTGAGTGAAATTTTTAGTAAATTTCTCAAAAAGGGGTATTATTTTGGGTTTTCCCTGATATCTGAACTCGGAGTGTTATGAATGATGACCATATATGCATCATACACTAGGATTGCTCTCCTTGTTATAAATGAAGAAATACCACTTCATATCATTTCCTTTTTGTTTGTTCTTTGAAATTTTGGTTTGGGTTACCTTGTTAATCTACACAACTTGCCTTGTGATCACTCGTTAATAATATCATGTACACAGATTCATTCTGTTGCTAGCACAATCTGTGCAGGGTTGTATATACTCCTCTGTCTCTGTGTGTGTGTGTGTGTGTGTGTGTGTGTGTGTGTGTGTGTGTGTTTGTGTTTGTGTTTGTGTGTGTGTGTGTGTGTGTGTGTGTGTGTGTGTGTGTTTGTGTTTGTGTTTGTGTGTGTGTGTGTGTGTCAACATATATAGAATGGTACACAACTGACTGTTGCGAATACGTTACCTACTTACCTTAATAGGGTACCCTTTGAAGATAGAAGGAAATTTGACTATTTGAGCAAATGTATCAAAACCCCACGATAGAACAGAAATCATAAACGAAGTATGAAGTATTAAATATTTATTTACTTTTTTTTTTAAATTATTATTTTTTTTTCAAAAATCATATACGGATTACTAAATTTTTGCAAACACAACACAAATTTTCGATGAAAACTCAATAGTGGAAGAATTTAACATTATGAAACTATTACAACTATCTTTTTAATTGTATACTGGTGGACATCAAAAGAATGGATGGTTAATAAAATCATTTATACTTCTGCAACATATTGGCAATCTTATGCAACAAGTATGCTGAGTAGCCATCAATATTATCACTAGTGGAGAGAGGAGAGGTCCATTCCTGGAAGTTGTGAAGGCTGCCAGTGAAGTCGGTGAATAAGCCATCTACTCCTATCTTGTTTATCCAGAAATCATATTCGATGTATGGATCTTGATGGAAGTCGAAGTGCAGAGATTGGTTGTCGTTCCTGTAGATATAAGGATGTACCTGTATTCATGTGAACAACTCATTAATAATATTCCTTCAAATCAAAGTGATATCAGTGAAGGGCAGATTCTAAAACAAAATGTGTAATAATCTTCCAAAGAACAAAAACTCACTATTTCACAAAGGAGTATACTAGTGAGAATTCTCAGCGCTACAATTAGATTTGATTACACCAAATGACTGACTTGTGTAAATTACTAACTGTATACTATCGCGAGTAGTAAATTTAATACTTATACTCTGTACTTATCCATCTGTAGTGAAGCATTTTAAGGTTCTTCAAAGTTTCGTTTTGAGGGGAATTAGATTATACAGTGTCATTGTGAGGCTAATGTTTCCAACAATTCAATTCAACTCAACTAAAAATTTATTCCGGTTAGTTTACACTCTAATCTAAAAGACTAATTGATCTATAATCAAACAATAACTGATTCAACATATCGTTGGTATAGATACCTGCAAGTCACGAGCGTGTGCTCTGGCAACTAGATCCGAAGGTGCTTGGATATAATTATTTACCACTGGAACCAATGTATCTTTCCAAGGTCCAATACCAACAACATATGATTTGATGTAGTCTAAATAAGCATCTGAAGTGATTTCCGAGTAAGTCTGCACAAATGCTCCATATTTAGAACCAATACAAGAAATGGTAAATGATGGAAAATTACTAATGGAATAAGACAGTAGCAGATGACCTGGTTGGTATCTTGAGTTAACACAGTTACATCATCAATCAAGAAGATTTTGGGCAGATCTGTTTGATTTGATACATGCACAATCGAACTTGGAGCAAATGATTGGATAAAACAAGGCTGTTTTAGCCAATCTTTTGACAAATATGAACCTTTGTAACCATACTTCTTCAGGGTCTCCACAAAGACATCCTCAAAAATCTTGCCATTAGGCCACTTCACCTGAAAAACAAAAATACACAAGAAGACGTTACTCTTATTGTGTATGAACAAAAACATAACAAGCAATCCAAATGATCATTTTTTCTTAGTGCATTCCAAAGACCAATTAGGAGTATAGGGTACTCGTGCAACATATATTTGGTTAACTGGATATTTTCATATGTAATATATTATGAAACCCATGAAAGCAGAGAGATAGCAAAACAGAACTATGTACTTCTGTCAGGCGCAGCTAACTTATATGATATGAGTACTTGAGGCGAAATGAAGAATCCGAGCAACACATGAACAAAGTGAAAAAAAAAAAGAAGATAAAAAACCTTTTCTACATGAACACAATAAACAGCATCCTAGCACTAAGTTGAAGTGTACTTAGAAGCTGTACATGAATATAGATATACAACTAAAAGTCTTTCCAGTCAGAAATATAACTGTTGGTTTCATAACTACATATACCACCATGTGAACCACTTCAAAGATGGATCTGAAATAAGAAGAGACCTGCACAGATATTGTGGACCTATTTTGACGTAACTGCTTGGCTGGTTCATTTTAAATTAGCTATTTTAGCTTGGCCAGTTGACACACAGAAAGGTGCCTGACTTGGGTGGTAAGTTTTTCCAGTTCATCCATTATACGTATGTAAAGTTCTAGTATTCGTGACTGCTAGGCTTGTCAACATATTGGAAACAAATTTGTGGCAGTAGAAAATGCAGAGTCCATACAAGTAAATTTACTTACATGCTCGTTGATAAACACGGGGCTTTTCATCTCTGGATATATCCCAACAATTCTAGGAGCATCAAGAGCAATAGATATGTACTCTTCAAAAGTAATGATAGGAAATTTTCCTGTAATGCAAAGGCATACAATGACAAAACTTCTAAATTTACAAACCATTTGCTTTCATTACAGCTCTACTTCAGGAATCATACTTACCATTGTATTGCTGATCCCTGAACGGATATCTTTGCTTTGTTCTCAAAGTTTGTAGTTCTTTCCAAGTAAAATCAACTAAACATGGAAAAATATTCTTTTAGAAAGACAATTAATCACAAGCAAGATGACATCAATTTTCGGCAAATTAAAAAGAAGAAATTTATGATGGGTAGAAGACTCCAATCTGGTAGAGACATCATACCAATGAAGAATCCAGGGATGTTGCCTCCTTCAACCTCATATGTTCTTTTGCGATCAGCAAACTCCTTGTGGTCAGCAATATTAGTGGTGACATCAAGATAAACATCATGATGACATATAAGCACACCATCCTTTGTGGCTATGATGTCTGTTTCGATGAAATCTGCACCTTCTTCTATAGCTCTCTGCCAAGGACAATACCCTTTAATCCCCACTTTTTTCTTGTTATACGGTAAACTAAACATTCACACACCGTAATCTATGACATGAGAACTTAAACCTAATAACTCTTCGAATTCATACAAGATTACCTTGGATCGGAAAAAAATGAAATAAAAAAAGATATTATCATATCACAGCAAACAAATTTCGCCACAATTCTGGTTCGCAATAACAGCACTTAACAAGGTATGATCTCAGAATACACACAAACAGATGTATTTCCTATACAACAGTTGTTTCATGGACTTGCTGTTGTAATCTTCTCTGACAAGAGAACAAATCGATTAAGATACTAGATGCAAGATTCATGGACAAAAGATACAATAGTTAACAAAGTAATTCAACAAAACAATCAACAGCATGGCTTGAAACAGAAAGAACACTAGAGGCTAAGCTAATCATCATCAGCATATAGCACATGAACGAGCACCATATCATTAGACTAGAAACTAAATATATCAACAAAAAAGCACAGGAAATTCTCCTTGAAACAGAAAATCGAAACACACCAGATATGCAGCAGAAGTTTCTTCAGGAAACTCTCCATTAGAACCTCGATGTGCAACATTATACGGACGTGAAGTTTGCAAGGGCTGCTTGGTACCTTTATGTTCTTTGCTTGGAAGCTGATATAAAGGCCGAGCACTACAGCTTACAAAGAGTAGCAAAAGAGTAAAAGGGACAACACCTGCATATTATAAATATATGCATTAAGTGTCTTGGATCAGCAACAATAACATGAATTTATTAGCCAACTCACAAAATTCATAAACATCATATCTTTTGTGAAAACAGAAAATTTCAGGAAAATCAAACAACTTTTGTTTTTGATGCTTTCATTGAACTTGTTGGTATATTTTTAGTATCAAGAACATGAATGATTTCAGTTTTCGACATTCAACAAGTCACTGATTAGATAACAAACTGATCATAATCAAAACCATTATACAAAGTTCAGAAAAACTTTCTGCAAATATTACAATTCAATTTATGTTAATTTCACACAATTTGACATGTATGATAGAAAATATATAAATTGTTGCCAAAATTATTACTTGCTCCGTCTGAACTGTAATTGTATCACGAAAAAATAAAAACATAAATTATAACAAATGAAATTCATACCCAACATACTTATTTATTCAAATTAAAATCCAAAAACTCCGGAAACGAGATGATAAATTACATTCAATAATTAACTAAAACCCACCAAATATAATAAAAGATTGATGCGTATAAATTGAAAATCAACAAAATAAAATCAATTAAAAAATTTGGGTAATTAAAATTTTACTTACAGAGCGAAGTCATGATATGATTGCCCCCTTATCTCTCTCTCTTTTTTTTTCCTCTCTCTTATTCAAGTTGGTATGGCATTTATAGAGAAACTTTTTGAGAAATTCAAGTCAAAATATAATACGACCACTATCTATATATAATTTTATTTTTTTTAACAGAATCTATAAATAAATTCAAAGTACTACGTATATAAATTTTATTTTTTGGGGAATAATATAATAAGCTTAATAATGTGATAATAATAATGGACTATTTTTTTAATTATTTTTTTAGATAATATAATAAGGTGATAATAATGATTAATATCTGAATTCCAAGCATCACTCAATCTAAACTTAGAATATTCTGTTTATAAAAATTATGAGTTGTAGACATAAGTATTAAGTATTGCTTCATATAAGGAGTACTACTCTTCAAAATCTTTATCTTATTTTTGCTCCTTTTTTTTTTTTTTTTTTTTTTTTTTTTGGTTACCATTTGACTTTTATTTGTATGCTCCACAATTTCTTAGGTGTTTTCATGTACATTTTCCTACCATTGACTTGTTTTATGGGTTTCTTCTCTATAACGACTTGTCCTACGAGGCTACGAAGTACTTTGTATATTGGAAAATAGAAAATAAGACAACTATTTTCAAACATTATAAAATTATAAGTATTGTGTGTTGATTTTGAAAGGAATAATAAAGGAGAGACAGATTATTAAAAGTCAATTGTCAAAAAGCACAATAACAAAAGAGGCATGTTCCATCCTATATTTAAGAAAAGGTAGATAAAAAAGTATATTGACTCATGAAACATGACCAAGGAAATTGACTTGACTTAACCATATACTCGGTATAGAAAGTCAGTCAACTTTATAACGCCATTCTTCTGCAAAAATTTTGTGGATATGGTTGCACCTATGTATGTGCAAGAAGTCAAGTAACTCAAGCTTAACTAATGAGGATAAGAATACTTTTCAAAGATCCTTTATATTATCGGATAACTATTACGCTTCCAACATCATAAAAAATACAATTGTAAATCATTTTTTTATGTAACAACTAATCTTTTTCTAGACATCACAAAATCATACCGAGTATCAAGTACTCCAAACTTTACGTCTTTACATGGAGGATTCTAAATTTCTAAGTAAAATAAACAGTTTTTCCAAGTCAACAATTTAGGAGTCAATACAGTCAAGATACTAGACAAGCAGATATAACATTCGACAAAATTTGCTTCTCAACATAACAAGTCAACATTATTGACTTCAAAGTGATGCCAATCTTTTCTAGAATAGATACCACGACATTGACACATTGTATCCTCTACAATTTACAATTACCCCTTGGATATCTGCTGCATGATTCAAATCTAAACATCCCTCCTTTGTTGCATCTTGAATCTGGATACCGCATCATATAAACATAACTTCTTATTAAATGAATGAAAAATGAAACATGATGATTAGACTCGAAAGACATAATTACCTTATCAATAGTTTCTTATCCGGAGAAATTTGTAAATTATCTGTTCGCTCCATGATATACAGTAGAACAAGTGAAGGCCTGCAGTGAATGAAAAATTAGTATATGGCAACAAGGAGAGATGAACTATAAAGTGGAAGTATGCAAACAGGAGGGGGAGATGGTCAAAATACATACCTTGAGACTATCGGTATTAGGTCTAGACTCTAGAGTCTCTAGACAATCGATTGCCAGCATCTGGTTTAGGTGTTGGAACACAAATCTGAAGGTAAAATAGGAAGGGATGAAATCAGTACAGTTATCATATAGAGAAATTCAACTAGTATGTATATTCCGAAAGCCAAAACTGCAAGAAATGGGGTTGAAACTACATGTAACATAATACTATTCTAGTGATATTACCAAGCAATGTTTAGTAGTTTACTAGGTTATAATCGCAAAGCAGAAATTTTTAGTCTAGTCATGGAAAATACTTCCAATCACCTAATCAACATGTCCACTTAAGACCTACTCCATATGATTTGAACCTGAAATAATGAAAATCGATTGCTAGCATCTGGTTTAGGTGTAGGAACACAAATCTGAAGGTAAAATATATAGGAAGGGATGGGATCAGTTATCATATACAGAGTAGAAAAATCTAACCAGTAGAGCTAGATCGAACTGCAAGAAATGGGTTGAAAGAACATGTACCACAACAATGTTCTAGTGATATAATTAAGCAATGTTTAGCAGTTTATCTATGCTATAATATCAAAGCAAGAGGCTTTTAGTCTAGTCATGGAATATTAAGATTGAACAAAGAAAAACCGGTCTTTTACTATTGAATGTCGCAGTGAGCCTTACAATGCCTCATTCTTCCTTCTTTGAACTCCCTTCGCAAATCATGTTGTGTCCCTCAATCACTCACCAGTACCGACACTAGCACTTCATCTCCCTCTATCCGCAATAACCCTTGAGTGCTTCAATACAGTAGTAAGTAAGATTTTGTCAACTATATTAGAATGAAGTCAATATCATGACAATTTGCTGCAACTTCACCAATCACCACTACTTTTGGAATGTAGTAGTAATGATTTGAAAAATGAGCTTATAAAGCATAGGACAAAACAAGCAACATTGATTTGTATTTTAATATTTTTGGGAATCCTTGATTTGAGTATTGTAAGATCTTAATCATGGTTGTATTTCCAAGGATTAATTTGTGATTGTACTTGATTGATTAGTGTTGAACTGGTGAAGGCTCTTATTGATTAGTGTGTTGAGATAAGTTTGATTAGTTAAGGGTTATATATTATTTGTAGGCAACTCAAAATGTGCAAAATATTAAATTGTTGTATAAACTTGTATTTCATGGGTTGAATGTGTAACATATACCAAACCCGTATTAATGAAATACGATATGATAATGTATTAATACATTATCATATCGTATTTCATTATTAATATGGGTTTGGTATTATTTGTTATTATTAGTAATATTGTTTAACAGATTCTTGTAATACATTATGGAAGGCCAGGATAATATATGAGCAGAATGAGAAGTTGAAATCAATTCCCTTTAGAAGTTTATTATCATGCTTTCAAGATTGTTGCGCAAACTTTCACCCTAATAATGTATAAATTATTACTTGATTATTTAGACCAAGAGTAGTATAATTAAAAAAATGTCAAATTAAACTCTAAATACTCTTAAATGAGTTAGATTAGTATTTTTTCCCGATTGAAATCAACTTTGGTATGGAGCAAGAAGAAACAGATACATTTTTGACTTCCTGTTGAAAGGTTTGAAACTAGTTAAGGGAGCTAAGGCATGATGTGAAGCACCCTAAGGAAACTAGTCATCAAGATGCCACCTCCTCAACACACCTAGATTTTATTTGGAGTAGAGCAAGTCCCAAAGACAATAATGTTAATAAGATTTTATTCTAAGTTACAATTCAATAATCATTGTCCAAAACTTTATCCTTTTTTCTAGCAAACATCTACATATGTATTTAACACGACAAAGTTGTCAATCAGTATAGTTGATAATTTACACACCTTTCTTCTTACTAAACTCTGTAATTTACACACTTTTCTTCTTACTAAAGTTGTAATTCATACACATTTCTTCTTACTTTAAACGTTGTAAATCGTGTTACGCCTATAAATTAAAGGCAACTAAACTCTGTAGTTCATGCATGTTTCTTCTTACTTTAAACTTTATAATATACGTTAAACCTGTACAAGATAATAAACTCCATATTTCAGACACATTTCCTCTTACTTTCAACATTGTAAAACACATTACGTCTGTAAAGTCAATTAAACTCCGTAATTCATGCACGTTTTCTTTTTAACTTTAAACATTATAAAACATGTTATGCCTGTAAAGTCAACTAAACAACAACATTTATATTAATCTAAGATACTTTAGCTTGCTCATCTATAGCATTTTTGCATAAAGATCAAAATCTACACTTGATTTTATAGGAGCGGTAGTATTTTTTTTTTATTTTACAAATATAATTATAGTTGATCATTCATTCATGGGTAGATGATTGAAATAACATAATACACCATTGTTTTTCACATATAGAGTATGTTTCTATAATACTCTTAATTCTATCTCAAAATATCCCAAATTATGAAATAGCAAGTCAAAATATGATTTGTAGCACTTGAGACAAAATTTATCTTAAAATTCAATAAATTATCTGGACATAGCACGAGCACAACACTAGTTTGTATTAATGATATACTTTAGCCAGCTCATCTATAGCATTATAGCATAAAATTCAAAATCTACACTTGATTTGGAATACAATCAATTCCCAAAAAAAAAAATTAATAAATAAATAAATAAAAATACTCTCAAAACTAACAAAGATCACAAATTTAAAAACTCAATTAGCATAGTTTCTTAATCTAGTACCCAAAAAAAAAAAAAAAAAACTCGCAAAGAAAGACGAAAATCACTAAACTACCCAAATTCGGGCATAAAACCAATTGTTCTTGGTTGATCTGGTCACCGTCTTTCTTATATAGCTTTGCAAAATCACTTCTGTTTCCTTCTCCCAATTACTGCGTTTACTCTTCTCTGTGCTTCTAGATCTCTGGATTCTTATTCTCTCTCATCCATAATTTTAATCATCAAGATCAAATTCAGCCCCACCCAAATCCATTACAAAAGGTACTATTATTGCAAATCAATTGATTAATTTTGCTTCATTTTTTGACTTTTTGTTTAGAGATTCTAATTTTTTCCTTCGATTGTTCATCTGGGTGTTTGATTAATGTTGTTAATTTTAGACATATTATAGGAAATTGCTCTGGGTTTATGAGCTTTTTTGTTAATTTTGAGTGTATATTGTTGTTGGGTTTTTATGATTGTATAGATTTGTATTTATAATGGTGCTGATTTTTTTGGATACTGTAAATATTTGAGGTTTATGTTTGTACCATTGTTTTTTACATATGGAGTACGTTTCTATAATACTCTTAATTCTATCTCAAAATATCTCAAATTATAAAATAGCAAGTCAAAATATGATTTGTAACACTTGAGACAAAATTTATCTTAAAATTCAATAAAGTATTCGGACATAGCCCGAGCACAACACTAGTTTGTATTAATGAGATACTTTAGCCGGCTCATCTATAGCATTATAGCTTAAAAATCAAAATCTACACTTGATTTGGAATACAATCAATCAAAATCACAAATTTAAAAAACTCAATTAGCATAGTTTCTTAATTTAGTGCCCAAAAAAAAAAAAACTCGCAAAGAAAAACGAAAATCAGAAATCACTAAACTACCCATTCGGGCATAAAAATAATTGTTGTTGGCAGGGGTGGATCCAATGTGGGTTAAAGTGGGTTCGATGAACCCACTGGTTTTTTGAAAAAAAATTGATTTTTTTTTTTAAAAAACAAAAATTGTAAAATGGTTAAAATGAATTTTTGTGTAGTAAATGTCAGGATGTAAAGGTGTAGCCCAATGGATTTTTTAACCTCACATTGTATATGGGTCCATGACTCCGTGAGAGCGTGATGCATTCCGCCTTTAGTCGTCCTTCACCGAATGAGCTGCCACCTTCAGTCAATCACTAAATCAATCTGTGTCTCCGTGACGCTTTAGTGAGTTCAGTCCTTCACCATTACGCGGTATTTACGCCTCGGTGGTTCCGGCGTTCGCCAGTTGCCCAGCTGTTGATTGTCTGGCGAGCTTGCCTTTCCGGTTAGTCGGTTTCCTTTAAATCTTTAATGCCTATTTCTGCCTTGCTGGCTTGCTGTGATTGTGAATGCTCAATGCTGTCTTTCATGATTTCAATTTCATTGCTGTCGATTGTCGAATACTCAAAATTGTCTAATTGGAATTTGTGAATATTGTTGAAATTGTCTAATTGTGATTGGAATTATGTTGGGTTAAACAATAATTGAAGAAGACCTCTTATTGTTGGAATTATTCCTCTTAATATTTCCTTAATTTTAAAGCAAAAAATTAAATTGCATAGAGCAAGAGTGATTTGTAAAGGATTACAAGGCTCATTTAAAATTTACATAGAAGCTAAAAATCCCTACTTAAAGAAACTAACTAAAACATAGCTCTTGCAAAAGGGCAAAAAAAAAAAAAAAAACTCAAAAAATGCTAACAACATAACTTAGATCATTATATACAGTCATACAAATAATGTTTGAAAGCTTAGTCCATAAATGCAATCCAAGGATCTCTAATGTTGTCATATAAAATTTAACTCTAAACACATTGAAAAATTAAGCAGCCAAAAAAGTTGCCAAAAGAGCTTACACGAAATTTCACATATGCAAATTGCCAAAGTATGAAAACTCATATAATGCTTTTGTAGTTTTTTTTCTTCATTTTTTTTATGGGTAATCTATTTGTAATCCACGATTTGAACTTATGTATTGAATATTTAATTATTATAATTTCATTCTTTTGTTAATTACGATTCCGAACCGAACCCACACTTCGTAAATCCTGGAGACGCCACTGGTTCTTGGTTGATCTGATCACCATCTTATTTAGCTTTGCAAAATCACTTCTGTTTCCTTCTCCCAATTACTGCGTTTACTCTTCTCTGTGTTTCTAGATCTCTGGATTCTTATTCTCTCTCATCCATAATTTGAATCATCAAGATCAAATTCAGCCCCACCCAAATTTATTACAAAAGGTACTATTATTGCAAATCAATTGATTAATTTTGCTTCATTTTTTGACTTTTTGTTTAGAGATTCTAATTTTTTCCTTCAATTGTTCATCTGGGTGTTTGATTAATGTTGTTAATTTTAGACATATTATAGGAAATTGATCTGGGTTTATGAGCTTTTTTGTTAATTTTGAGTGTATATTGTTGTTGGGTTTTTATGATTTTATAGATTTGTATTTATAATGGTGCTGATTTTTTTGGATAGCGTAAATATTTGAGGTTTATGTTTGTATCATTGACCTGCAGATTGTTGAGCTTGCAATTAAGGCTCATTGTTTAGGTTTTTGACTTCTTGTACTTCTTATAAGTTATTGGTCTGGATATTAGAGCTCTCACGTCAATTCAGAAGTCTTAAATCGGTTTTTAATTTACATTTTTTGTTCTTTATGCTTAGAAACTTGCAGTTTTGTTTGATTTCGGGTTTCGGCTTTATGCTCTTAGTAATCAATCTGATTCAATGTATAGCCAGTAATATAGTCTCATATTCTAGTTTCTTTGTCAAGTTCTTCCCATTATTTCCACAAATATATGAGCTTGCTCGCCAATTTTGCATCAATAATGTGCTTCTAGAATTATCTGATTAAATTTTGCTCATTCATATGTGTATGATTCTGGTTGGTTGTCTATGTTTTCTTGGTGATTTATCACACCCCATCTGACCTTTCTCTCTACCTCTTTTAACCTTTTGAATTGAACCTTGAGAGGAAGATTTTGGTTTCGTTTAAATTGAAGTTGTGGCGATTTTTGTTTGTGAACAAGGGTTACTTCATTCAGTTACATGTGATTGAGCTATGGATGAGTGTTGCTGTTGAACCTCTTTGCCCATATCCATGAAAATGAGAGCATATCCTGAATTTGCTCTAACCTATCACCTCTGGCAAACTTTTTTTTATTGATGTATTATTCTAGCTATTCTCACTCGATTATTTTTGGAAACCTTTAGTGCAAGTTGCCAAAATCTCATTCTAATCAAGTATTGTCTCTTTCTGTAGTTATCCTATAATTTTTCTAATTTCTATCGCCACATTTACATCCCAAGTCTTTAGCACCAGATTGTTCCAAAATTGTTATGAAAATTAAATAAAAGAACACTTCATTTGAAAAGACTGAGACTTGTCAGATGTTTTCTGGAATTTCGTAGTGTATTTTGGGATTACTTTGTCTTATGATATTCTTTGGGATGCCTGAATTACTTCTTTGTAGAGTAGGGTAGATGGGCCTTCTAAAGTTATAAGGGGGTGTTTTGGTTATTGTTCAAGGATTGAAATGGATTGGAGTATTGGACTTGATACCTAAAAGATCTGGTAGCACTTACTATGGTGTTTCGATCTTGGTACATTTGAACATCACTTGCAAAGGAGCGAGATTCACTGGTTCATTACATGTCCTCTCTTCCCTCTTTTGCTGTCCATCACTTGCAGCTCTCTTTCTCTTTCTCACCAAAACTGCTCAAACCACCAGTCCATACACCATAAGGCACAAGCTCACATTATGTCACCTCTCCTTACTGTATTCAACCCCTTCTTGCTTTCAACAACCATCGTTAATTCGCCCTTCCCAGGGGTGAAAGGATATTGAACTTTGGAGTGTACTTGACAAAGGCTAGCCATGTTGAAGTTTTTATCGATTGAAGTCATTAGCTACCTTCATCAATTTTCCATGCATGAAGCCTACGAAGAGGTAAAGTGAGGGAAAGTATGAGCTTACTTATTCTTTGGGATTTAGTCGCTGTAACTTTGAGGTCATTTTGAGAGGTGATTTTGAGTTGTGTGGAGTGGTGATTGATGGTTTCTGAAGGGTGGCTGTTGGACGGCAGCAGGGGGTGTTTATCTATTGGAAAAATAGAGAGATATAGGAAAGACTAAATTGGTAAAGGTTGGGACGTTGGGTACTACAAGGCTATTCTTGATTGTTATTGATTATTGCAAACCAAAGGTGAAATGAGCAGCGGATTTCGGCAATTTTCGGTGCTGGACAGCAGCCAGTATGTTATTCAAAGTTTTTACTTCTTTGTTCTCTCTCTCTCCCTCCCACCCCCCCCCCAGTCTTTTTCCGGTCCTTTTAGACCTGTAGGAGGAGATTAAAAATAATAGTTATTAGATGTAATATTTCGATGTAAAAAAATTTGTATTAAAAAAAAATTTCAATAGGATCACCAACTTTGTTCACATCCATATCTCTTCCATCTAATAAAAGTGGATAAATAGAACAGGTTAGCAAAAACAAAATTTATATAAAATTAATCTTTATGGTCTTATAAAATAAATTAAAACATTTACCAGTAAGTGAATAATTGTTGTGAAATTAATCTAAAAATTGTAATTATACAAAATTAAATCTATGCATTGAAATTTTTTCATCGTCCCTAATCGCCCAAACAATAGTATTTTGGAAAATTGAATCATTATTTTGTTGTCGCTGACAATGTGTGCGATATTGCTTCTTATTTGTAACGACTGAAAAGTATCTAATGGAGTAAACTTTTCCTTCAATCAATTTTGAACAAAATTGTAGAACAAAGTTGACTTTAATTGAGGCATGAACGTAACCCTGTAATTAAAAATAAAAATTAAGTTAATGTTATAACTTAATTAAGCTACCTAAATCACAAAAAAATTGTTTTAATTATAAAATTAATTGATAAAACCTAAAAGGCTCATTAAAAGATTTAATAAATGTAAACGATTTATAAAGATATAATACCTCCTCATTCAATAGCGTACTTTGATATTCCAAAGATTTTTGCTTGAATATAATTCTCTGATTAAATTAGATCTGCATGTTAAAAAAAAATTCAGTAAACAAAACATAAACATATAATCATTAAGTATTCCAAATAAACACAATTTAAGCAATAACCACAAATATACATTTAAACATGAGTTTTAAAAATTAGGCTAAGAATTACACAACCATTGATGACCTAATAAAACTGACACAAAATTTGCTTAGTTTGGTTTTGTATTGATACGAAATTTTGTTGGTGTCATATGATGCGTCAATTTATAATGGTAAATATCACAAATTTTAATTTAATTATAATTAAGGAATAATTTTTATTTCTTAGCATAAACACTATCAAAATTTATCTTATGATAGTAGGTATATAAATCCTATATCTAAAGATGATTATTTAGAAAGATAATTTTTAGATTTTTAAATAAATTAAATCCTAATAAATCAATATTCGTTGTTTTTACTTACGTGGCAAAATTCTTAATCTCACTCGTTACTTTTGTTTAGGTAGCAAACGAATTTTTTAATTCATATATAAAATAGAAATCTAATTTTTAATTGGTCGAAAATACACCTTTGCTTATGTGGCGCGCCAAATGCTCTCCAAAAATGTCTACTTTATTTATATATATTAGATTAGATTAGAGACTGTTTTACAAATAAATAAAATAAAATAAAATAAAAATGATCAATGCCTTTACGACCCTGTTTATTTCATCTTGAAAAATAATATTCAGTAAAAATAATTTCAATTCAATAAAAATAAATTCAGTTTAGCAAAAATAATTTCAGTTTAGTAAAAACAACTTCAGTTCCATAAAAATAATTTCGGTTTAGGAAAATTAATTTTAGTTCAATAAAAATAATTTCAATTCAGCAAAAAAATATGACGTGAACAAGGCCTAATTTTATGTACTCGTATCGATCTGTTTGTCACATAAATCACATTCTACAAAGGGCAATCTTGAGATGAGACAAATTATTAATAGAATAATGAATTTGGAATCTGTAAAGGAGTAGGTTAAGATGCTTTACTTTGGTTAAAGATTTGGTGCCAACACTACAACTTCTCTAAAATGGATTAGGGTCTTCAAGGACTAATATATTCATTATCATCTTGATTTATAATTATCGAAAGCGTTAGTATAGATCGAAACTATTGAACAAGATTTTGTTTAAAGAAAAACAGTGGAATGATGGAATAAGAAATCATATAAAGGCAAAGATGGTCTAGCTAATTAATGCAAATTAATCATACTAGGAATATTTCCTACATGCTAGACGAGAATGGAGCGAACTAAGAGAATCACAAATTCACAAGTCAATGCTTGAGAATAAATGGAGAAGGTAATGGAATCCACTACTCCCAAACAAATGTAGAATAATGGGGCTTGAAATCGTGATCTCAAATTCATCACAAGGTGAGTAACCTACCACCTCCAACAAGCATGTTGGGCTATTTGTTACTAATTATATATATACTTTGTACAAACATAACCTTCATAAACTCAACATGAAGGAGATGTTCTAATTATGGAAGTATTAACACCTTGCTTTTTACTGTGTAAGGTAAAAATTCATAAAATCATTAACTTCAATTCTTTTATAGACTGTACAAAAATATTCCTATACCATACCTTCAAGAAAAAAATTGACACCTACCTTGTAGAGGCCTTATTTCAATCCCTTCAACAATAAGGCCACCCATTAAATGATGCCCTTTAATCTCCGTCATACTCATCTTCACAACCTTACCATCTCTATAAGAGTCACCACAAAAGAAGTGTCCTAACTCGATTTCCATCCATCCATCACCGCGTGCACCTGGAAGTTTTAAATTACTTTCCTCCGACCCATGATTCACCCTTGATGTAAGAATTTCTGTTCGATTATAGTATAGCAACCATTGCATTTGATGCTTCTTTCCTTCATCTTGGCGAAGATACACAGTATTATGGCTCACCACATCACTACCCACTTCGATTGATACTTCCATAGGCATTATTTCCAACCCATATGCACGTTTAGACACTTTGAAGATTAGATATGCTCCGTAAGTTGTGTTTGGTGATAGCATATTAAGTTTAAATAACCTTGTATATCTAACCATGATGTGGTTCTTAGTTCCGTACTTTCCTTGAACCTGAATTAAGAAAACACATACGCAAGATATAAGATTAAATCTCGTTTACAATTCTAGCAATTTCATTTATCCTTGTGACGAATGGACTAGAGATAATAAACCTTGATTGAGGAGTGTGTTTCCAGGCCCAATAAATTGGGTCATCAGCCCATGCTATTGACAGATCTCTTGCTGATAATACGTAAGATTTGAGTCCAGTCATCTTGTTTAAATTAAAAATCTGCATGGCAGCTTGTCATATGTTAGCTAGACATATTATAAAAAAAACAATAATTAACTTTTGGTTAAAATTAATTTGGTTTGACAAATCTTTTTACATAAACTGATAAGATGAATTGACGTTACATAACATGCATTAGTGCTTGACAAACCATTTCTCTAGGACAAATAACAAATTACAACTGCCTAAATATTATAATCACGAAAGTGTCATAGATTATGATTGATAACTAATTATTGCCTCCGTTAAATATTAGTTGTAATTTTGGGGTATTATTTGGAGATATAAAATATTCTAAAGTTGCAACAAATATTTATTGCGGGTAGTATATGAATATATGACAATATTGCAAATTTTCAGAAGCATATAAGGGTATATGTAAATATAGATTTAAGAAACAAATAAGGAATCCAAACATGAAGGCTTTATTCTCCTCCCTTTTGTTAACTTTTTTTCAGATAACTCAGATAAGATAAAAGAAAAACTAAATTAATATATTGGGCTAAAGTAAAGGCTAATAGCCTAATAAAATAATACCAATAAAATAAGTGATTTTTTTTTCTTAATTAGAAACTAATGAAACTTAGTTAAGCTATTCAAATGGACATAAGATAAGTGAATTTTGAATGAAAAGAACATTACCGTACCCTGTAACTTTCATTTAAAAAAATACGAAGTATATGAAACACATTAATTCATATGCATGCCCATATGCACCGGCCACTCTTGCTTGTCCACAAATAGGCCGACTATGTCTATATCTCTTTGGTACATACTACTTTTTGTTTTTAAAGTTAAGGAGAAGGCCCAAATTAAGAGAGGGTGATTTAAGAAAAATGCAAGTTAAAATGAGTTAGGTGAAATTCACCCCTTAGAATCAAGCCTGAAATTTAAAAGAGGTAGCCAATTACTCTAGCCTCCTATCTCCTACAAAATGTGTATTCCTATGATATTATCTAGTTTGACTTTTACACTATTCATAAGTGTACCTTAGACTTCCTTTTTTTTGTAATTTATACAGATTACATAAGAAAGCATAATCATGTCATCACGTGAGATCTGTTTGAATCATCTCAAAAATCCTATCATATATATATTATCTAATTGCTATACTTTTTTCTTATAAAGAATTAAAGATATTGATGATTAAATTTATACATTAACAAGTGTGATAAACTGATTAAGTAATAATGAAAGGAGGAAGTATAAAATCTATCATATACAGGTATATCTAGCTCTAAATGAGCAACTTATATTATAAGGAGTAAAAAAACAAGTAAATCCGAGAATTATCATGTACTTATCAATTATCATGTATGATGTATGTACCTAAATTGAAGTAAGGCACATTTTAGTCATTGATGAGTGTAATTAAAATAGACACTCAAAGGTAGGTAGGGTTTAATAAGTAAGATATTGGATAAGGTAAATGTTCTTTGACTGACCTTGTTACCACCATCTATGAGAAGAGAGTTGCAAAGCAAGAAGAACAACTCTTTCTTTGAATCCCACTTAAGCAAAGCTGGACCAGCCCTTGAAACTATCTCATGGTAATCCACTGGTAGGAAGCTCTCCCATACACAATCCAATTGAGCCACTGATCGGAGCTCAGAACATGCCGCCGCAGACCGGCAAACATCCCATGGGGAGGAAAGGGAAAGAATTGTAGAGACACAATCTTCAGGCAGCTCATTTAAGCTCATCATCTTCATATATATTACACAATAATCTATTATATCCAAAGTATATGAATTAATATATATACAAATTAATGTTACTACTATAGTTTAGTTTGTGCATTATTCAATCTATGTGTGCTAAAGCTAAGCTATTTGATTCAAATAAATCTGCTTCCATCCCTTGTTTAAGACAATCTGATATTTTATTTTATCTTTAACTATGCAGGTGGCTTTAGTTTTTTCCATGTGCATAAAATGTTAAGTGGGGTAGTTTGATAGATTGAGTGGCCAACTTGCTGCATGCAGCTAAATTTTGATGATATATACTCGTATGGAGTATGGACCTCATGGAGTATCTGTACAACGTAAATAATACGATTACGAAGTTAACCTCTAGATATCGACCCGTATTGATTTATTATGACACATACATACGTACAAACGCATAAAGTTATTGACTCTTGTTTTAGGTGATCATATACAGATAAATTATACCAAATTACCAATAAGGCAATAAGGTGTTGGTTCACTTGGTAAACCTTTTACCTTAGATCTTCATAATACATTATTTGTTTCAAAAAAAAAAAATACAGTTTAATTAAAGGAGTATTTAATTAGTTAACCTTTATGCATTTTCCTCTCCCAAATAATAATAATAATAATAATAATAATAAATTGATTGGAGAATAAAGAAAATATCTGCTAGCTAGTTTTATACTTTTAACTCATAAAGCCATAAAGGCCTATTCCATCTATATGACAAACTTTAAGTCATTTTCATATAAATATATATACTTGTACTAGTTTATTCTCATACTAATACACGTAATAATGTAATGTTGACACGATTTGTATTTAGTTCTTGCACATACTTCCTTCCAATCGATCTTTACCTTTAGATATCAAGATTTATACAATTTGTTTGATTAGAAATACAGAAATAATATAATTTTAATTTGTAGCACCTTGCTTACATATGCGCAACTCCAATCGTAAACAACTAAACAACAATGGGTTGTAATAAAAAGAAACCTCAATTGAAGAGTTTAAGAGTTTGATTAGAATCAAGCCGGTCGGCAATAGTATTTTCTTTACCCATTGGCAAATAGCCAAATAAACTAAAATCACAATCTAATTTGTCTAATATGAACATAACGATAGAAAGTAGTGTAAAGCAATTTGCAACTAATCAAACCACAAAATAATTTGTATTATTATTAAATATGGATTGCAAAGTATATTATGCAATTCTTTAAATACGTGTGAAAAAAACTGATCAAAGGATTTCTCTATTAAATAGTAAAATCTTCTTGCATATATACCAACCTCATGACGAATTTTATAGGTAATAACATCTAAACATTATTTAAAACATCAATATGTATGTATAAAATATATGTATATATATATATATATCACAAATTACTCCATATGAAGAGAGAAAAAAAAAAAAAAGATAAGGAAAGTAAATACGAGTAATGTTAATGAACAAGCTTACCTATGATTATTCTTGAAGCAAATAAATGCTCCTATATCTTTGCTTGTAGAGTTGTAGATCATGCATGAATGACTTGATTGTTTTTTATTGTAGGAATTGCAGCCGTTGACAATTTAACAAATTATAATGGGTGTTTGAATGTTTGAAACACGCAACATATTGTACTTAATTGATAATAATGTTGTATTAGTTTAAATGTCAAACGGAACCTAAATATAATTGCCTAATTTTTATATGGGTAGATGGTACATCTTATGAGCTCTTTTTAGTACGTATTCATTTGATGAAATCATGTTGTCATATGACGACATTGATTTTTAGGTAACATTACTACCATGCATTACAATGGTCATGAATGATTATGACGCAATCAATCATGCCCATTCATACATTCCAAACTTTTTTTTAATCATATGAGATACCACAGGGCACCTTTCACCGGGGCCATTCGAGGCCTGACTCTTGATACATTATTGATTTATTGTAATTTATTAGCTATTAAACTTAATAATGTTATTTTACTTATAAAATATTGAGACACAGTGATTAGTTTTGAGCGAGAGGTAAAATATTCATATCCCGGCTTCTTTAATATTTTTGGTCAAGATCCGCCACTGTGAGATACCACTACAACTATCTTCTTCGTACAAGATTTGTTATCTCATAGATTTGCCAAATTATCTCATTTGCTTTTGTCAAAAAAAAAAAAAAAGATTGCCAAATTAAACGTACATTTTTTTATTAATATTATGCAAAGTGTTTGAGAACCTCCAAATTTCTTGAGAATTTTTTTTTTAAGAAAGGAAAACTCAAAACTTAAAATAATTAAATAAGAGTTGTTCACAATTTTTTAATGAAAAAATTGTAAAAACGGAGTTACAACGAAGAAAGGTGAAATAAGTAGCAATATTGTTCTCTTGTTAAAAAAAAGTAGCAATTGTTCACATTAATAATTGCTTAAACCACTGGAAAATGCTCATTATCTATTTACTCATACAAAAAAATCCAAGTACGATTTATTTGGTTTCTACATGAGGAGGCCCAAGGCCATTAGTTGTTCAATTAAGGCAGCTTATAGGCCACTCCATAATTAAGAATTACTTGTCTTATGCACTTACTGCGTGCCATATTGGCTCTTTCCATTTCCAAATGGTAAAGGTAGATGTTGGGCAAATTGGGCAATTGTGCAAGAAAATAAGAATATTTATTTGTTAATTGTGACTACATATATATTGCCACGAGTTGCTTGGACGCAATTGCAATCCATTGTTTTTCTATCAAGTCCACTAGAAAATTTGTCAAATACAACTGTCAAAAATATCCATTTTACGGGTTTTAACCTTTTAAATTTATTCAAAATACAACCTAAAAATACACCTAACGTTTAAAACTAATTTATGCTAAACACTTAACAAAACTACTATTACTTTAATAGTTTTCCCTAGCATTTACTCATCGATAGTAAACATCTACTATCACAGCCACAGGGTCGCAGCAGACATTAAGTATGTATCAGCTACCACAATAAACTAATTTTGCCGAACAAAGGTTTCCGAAAGTTTAATGTTTTTTCTCTTTTCGTTCAAATCTCCAACGTTTCAAAGCTTTCAGTTTCTAATAAGGAAGAATTTTAAATTTTAAAGTTGAAATTTTACATCGACAAGTGTGTAAATTAAAGTGTTGCAACCTCAAAAAAATAAATAAATAAATAAAAAGTCCTGCAATATCAAAGAGAAAACACTATTTTCTTCGGTTTTTTTTTTTTTTTTTTTTTTGCTAATTTCATTAATTCAACTTACACACGCATCATCATTGTTCCAAAAATCCAAAATGACTAGCAAAAGTTTTAGAATCGAAAATTTTAGCTCTTGAAAGAATAAATTAGTTCAATATCAACACCAAGAGAAACCATAAAAGTTGAACATGATTAAGGGGCAATTTTCAAGATAAGATATTGCTACCCATTAGAATTTAGAAACCATAAAAATTAATTTTACTTTTTTTTTTATTAAAATGTTCAATTAAGCACAATAATACATTAATTTTAAAGAACTTTACTCGTAAGTAAAAATAGCTTAAAAAGCGATTTACAGGACGTGTCTCAACTGAATATAAATCTAAAATGAATAAGTCCTTTCGGGTCCAATTTTCAAAGATCCAAATGGTATAAAACGAATCTAAATCCATTGACTTCAAATCGGTTCTAGGATCCATTACCGACACCCGTTTCCCCTTCACCCATGTTAGGAATTTAGGACGCAAATTATAAGATGCACCATGGTGCATCTAGTTCTATGTAGTCCAGCGTAAAACTACATCATTTTACTCCTGATGTTTAAATTAAGTTTTCTACTCCCCGATCTCAATTGACAATCGTACTCAGACCTTAAAGGAGTGAAGGACCATCATCAACCAAAACTTACTATCGTTATGCTGCCGATTGCGACGCTTCTTGGCTTCAATCCATTTTTTGTCTGGAATTCCCCCGGAATTACTTTCGTTATAACAGAAAATTCGACTAATGAGATTGAATCGAGAGGAACAGAAAATCGACTAATGATATCAAAAGATGATTAGTTGTAAAACAAAACAGGAGGGAATTATTAATTGGGCGTGGATTTTGCTCCGCTTGGGCCGTTATTTGGGCCTGGTACACCTATTTCTAGGATAACAATTTCGTTGCGATTAACAAACTTAAAAACCCTTTCATTAAAAAAAAAAAAAAAAACCAAAGCCCAGATTATAAAATACCATAAAAAGGGCCCATTAATTGAATCTGTATCCACAATTAGGGTTTCACTGCAATTTGGGTTAAAACTTGTAAACCACCACTCTATAACTCCTTCAATCTTCGCCGCTTTCATCTTCCTCACAAAAAAAAGACTGAAGTTGCAGAAATGGTGTCACTCAAGCTGCAGAAGCGGCTCTCTGCTAGCGTACTCAAATGCGGGAAGAAGAAGACTTGGCTTGACCCCAATGAGACCAATGAGATCTCCATGGCTAACTCTCGTAACTTTCTTACCCTTCTCTTTGATTGTCATTGTTATTTTGTTTCATTTTCTGTGTTTTTAGTTTGTAATTTGTGATGATAATTTGTTGGTTTTGAAGTGATGGATTAATTGGCTATTTTTATTGTTTTTCTGGGGTTTTCGTGTTAAAGGGTTTGTTTTTTAATGTACCTCGATTCTACAGACTGAAATGCGATTTGTACTTGTAATTACTGGGTTTTGCACTTACTGTTTAAAGCGAAGAATTTTCATTTTTACGGTGAAATGATGTTGATTGAGAATTTTGAGTGGATACATTTGAATAATTAGGTTGAAATTAGTGAGGAAAGAGTTGTTTTTAATTGGGTGCAATGTCAGTTTTTAGGGTTTGGTTAGGTTATTCATTTGGAGGAGAATTAGGGTTTAGGTATCGCACGTAGTTCTTCCTGGAATCATTATTGATGATTTTGAGGATTTTATCTGTGCGTAAATGAAATTTATCTGTCGTTACTTTAATGAGTATTCTCCTTCTTGTTTTATTATTGGGATGAAGGTTTGCTCTTGTTTCCGAGAGATAAGACATTTTGTGTGGACTTACACGTATTGAGATCGGTGAGGTCTTTGATCATTGCATTTGGCGAGGAAAGTTAGTTATTTCATATGAATTTTAACTTATTAGTTTGGTTCTCAAGTTAATAGAGCTATCAAGGACCATAAATTGCATTTTTGCCTGTTATTTTTTTAAAACCCTTAGACATTAATGTAAAAGAGTTTTATCTTGGCTAGCACAATGCATTAAAAACTGCAGTTTAACACTTCAATTACTATGTGCATTGCTGTTTATGATTAAATTATTGTATATTTGTGTTTATGATGTTGTGTATGAGTTCCATCATGATTTACTTGATCCTAGTTGTGTATGCTATACATTATGTACTTTAATGTGATAAATGTAGCCTTTCTTTAGTTAGCTCTTTAAACTGGATGCTATTATGTTCTTCGCACTTGACTATACTTGAAATTGTTTAAAAATGTGATTTCTGTGGTGTTAATAGTGCGTATAAGAAAATATCCTTTCTGCTTGAGCCATCTCTTTTTGGCAATGGACATGTTCTCCAATGATATTGGATGATAAGTGCTAGTGAATGTCAGTAAAATAGTTTTTACTTGCTTGCCTTCTGATTCTGCGTTCACTTTTATTGTTAGTTACTGCCTTATTCTTCTACAAAAGTCTGCTGTCCATTCTTCGAATTTGCTACTATGCTATCTGTCTTTAACTACCCTTGTTCTCATGAAAGTTTAGTTCTTTGTGATGTGATGTTATGTTATATTGTATGTACTGCACTTGTATCATTGGTTATTTTGTTTGGGAAAAAGTATGCTGTCATTTTCTCCGCACTTAGTTATTCTTGGAATCCTAACTATGATTCTGAGATGTTTTAGTGCGTATAAAAATCTATCCTTTCTGCTTGAGCCATCTCTTTGGGCAATGGACATGTGCTCCAATGTAAATGGATGACATTTTAGATAGTGAGCATCAGGAATATCGTCTTTGCTTGCCAGTTTCTTCCTTCATTGCTATTATTGGTCACTGCTTTTGTATTCACTGGAGGGTCTTTATAGAACTAGTGATTATAGCCATTATGAAAATAAATGGATATTGGGATGTAATTCTGTCTGGTGGAGCCATCTACTCTTTTGAGCATTGGGGTGTATTTATCTTTTTATATGTAATCATCAGTTTAAGTTATTTTAGTTATTTTTGAAGTATTGATTATAGGCATGTCTTTAAAAATATTGATCTATTATCTTCTCGCACTTAGTTATTCTTGGATTTCTTTTGAAATTATGGTTTCTGAGATGTTTTAGTGCGTAAATAAATTTAACCTTTCTGCTTGAGCCATCTCTTTGGTCAATGGACATGCGCTCCAATGTAACTGGATGACATTTTCACTAGTGAACATGCTATTGCTTATATACATCTTTTACATAAATATTAGGTCATTGTTGTAGGTTGGATTGGAAATCATAATGCAAAAACCATTTACGTATATAACCTGTTGTAATTACGTGATATTTGTTAGTTTTATATGTTGATCTGTCCAGATATTGGTAAACTTATATTGATGTAACCTGTAATATGTGACTCCTTACAAGCATAATCTTAACAGGGGGTGGGTTGTTTTCTTGCTGTGAAGGATAATTTTTATTATGTGGTGTGTTGCCTACTTAAGGTGTGTTTGACTTAAAGCTGATTCATTTCAGGACAAAACATAAGAAAGCTAATCAAAGATGGATTTATCATCAAAAAGCCATCAAACATCCATTCCCGTTCCCGTGCTCGCCGAATGCTAGTAGCAAAGAGAAAAGGGCGTCACTCTGGCTATGGTATGTGTTGATACAGTAGTTGTCAACTACATGACTACCATGTTGATTCTTATATATGTGCTCCATCTGATTAGTTCTATATATTAATATTTTGCAGTCTTCACCCAAAAAAAAAATATATATATATGTATATTTTGCACAGTAGTTTTCTTGCTGTCTACAGCTGCAAAGCATTTCTGTAAAATGCTTTACCTTGGTTATTATTAAGAGGTCTTCTTTGATAGTTATGCTATTCTTGTTAAATGATCCCAGGTAAACGTAAAGGTACCAGGGAGGCAAGGTTGCCTACAAAAATTCTCTGGATGAGGAGAATGCGTGTACTAAGGCGTCTGCTCCGCAAATACAGGGAGTCCAAGAAAATTGACAAGCACATGTATCACGACATGTACATGAAGGTCAAGGGTAATGTCTTTAAAAACAAACGTGTTCTGATGGAGAACATCCACAAGTCAAAGGCTGAAAAGGCAAGAGAAAAGAATCTCTCTGATCAGTTTGAGGCTAGGCGTGCAAAGAACAAGGCTAGCAGGGAGAGAAAGATTGCAAGGAGGGATGAACGTCTTGCGTTGGTGAGTCCTTTGACATGAAACTAACTTGATTCCCCTGACTTAATGTGATTACCCTTTCTATTGTTTTAGTCTATGTAAGTTGTTAGCTTATTTAATTTAGTGAGGTGGGGAGAGCATGAAAATGTTCCCTTGTATGATATGGGTTGCTTAATGTAATCATTTTTGAGGGGATATTATGAGTCTTATGACCATGGGATTATCATTGGGAAAAATTCTGGGATTATAACTTGTGGTGACTGTAATAATCAAGATGCTTTAAATCATGTAACTTGCATATATAGCATTTTGATCTATGTTAGGATTAGCTTCTGAATTTCAGAAAACGTGGAGGTAAATAAATGCCATGATGGGATATGGTAGTTAAACAAGTTGTGGACTTGTGGGAAGCATTAGATAGACAGAGTTAGTTGGGGTGGGGTTCGTCAACTTAGGTTAAACGTGCAATTAGGAAAAGTGCATAGTACTATATGTGTATACAGCCCATCTCAGAATCTATTCCCTTGGGTCATCACGGTATTTTCGCCTTGTTCTAGCTGGTGGTCATCCTCATCACCTTGCACCTCAGCATGGTTGTACTTTATATAATGCACTGACATGAATTATATTATATCATTCGTTGTAATCTCTTACTCCGCTGTTTCATCTTTTGAAATTTATATTTGATGTGTTATACAGGGGCCTGTAGAGAAAGCTCCAGCACCAACACCAGCAGCTGCTCCAAAGCCAGCAGAGTATGTTTTGCCCTTGTATCTATGATTTAGCCTTTGAATTTTTAAATTTATGTCAATTATTGATGTTTTGCAAATGATCACAGGCCAATTAAAAAATCCAAGAAGTGAAGCAGTGATATCGAGTAGGTCTTAAAATTCTGTTTTCATTGGAGCAATTGTGAAAAGACTTGATTAACTTGGATCACAAATTTTGGCCTCTGAAGAAAGTTTTCCGTTTTTTTTTTCATTTTATTCATTGCAAGACAAACAATTATGTTTGCGACGGTTGATGTAGTTGCCAAAGACACGAACTACTGCACAGTTTTGGTAAATTTGGTAATCAATTGGAATTTTTGTAATGTGCAATGAGCTATGTGAGTGTCGGTGACATGAAATCTATTGGTGTTTCTTTTTCTAGCTGTGCTGGGAAATCACCAATTGACCAGCTTGACCTAGATAAGATTTGTGGTTTTGTTGTCTGGTCAGGCTAGATGACGGTTGGTGTTCTTACATGCTGATAGTATATTGTTTTCTGTGGCAGAAGAGTTGCATTTTTCATGCCATTGAGTGTTAAAATGCCTAGACATTTATAACTGATTTGTGTGATACGCATGTTTGTAATTTATAAAAGTCCTACTTGTTAATGAGCGATGAAAGAATTCGGGCAATTAAACCATTTGGTTGTGTATTGGAGTAATTAATTTATACAAGTGAGGGAACGGTGAATCATTCAGTTCCGCATTAACTAAAATTACTCGAAAACATTGCATTGTGGGTTGTGGCTTTTGGTTATGTAAAGGTTACACATAATTGTTACTACCTCTGCTAATATTTACTTGCAACTTTGGGGGTGAATACGCATCCCAAGGCAAAATTTCCAAAATGTGTTTAGTAAAAGATTATGCATGTGATAATGTGGATAGAGAAAGTGTGGGGACTAGCTTAATCCTAAAAAAGGAGGGAGTGGAGGTCTGGGTCTAGTAAGGGACTGTGATTTGGGTTTTTTAGCATGACCCAACCCAGATTATGCACCCATCTCAGAAATAGATCCGAGTCCTTTTGAACCATCCGAACTTGAACTAGCATTGTTCTCAGAAAAAATAGTGAGTTTGTTGTGAAGAACAACTCGAGCTAGACATTCCGGCAACCTTAATAAGTTCGGATTTCACCTCCCCTTCCCCAACATTCGAGGCAACCGCACTTAATTTCTAAGCGGCTTCCTCATCTTCAATAGATTGAGTACTTTACCAATCGCAGCAAAGGTTCGTTGGCTGAAAATTTCGCCACCTTTGCCCGACATAAAGAACAAATTAGGCCAGGAACCCCGTTCTTCAAAAACTTCGACGAGAGCAACAATGAAGCCCTGCTCAATTTCATCGTCAGTCGCAAATAGGGCTTCATGTAGTGGAGATAGATCCATTCGAGGAAGAGAGGAGAAAGAAGGAGGCAAGATCTATTCAAGAGGAGAGAGAATGAGCCAAGATCAATTGTTCAAGGAGGAAGAGAGGAGAGAGAAATACCCAGATGAGGAAGATGAAGAAACTTCAAGAACTAGGGTTTCAATTCATTAGATCTGATGAATTGTTGATTTAATCAAAGGCATTTAATTTGGTAGGTGGGGGAATGATTTAATTTTTGGTGGGAGTTGTTAAATTAGTGGAATCATATTAGAATTCTAATGTGATTTAACTAATTTTCTAAGTGAATGTTTAATTTTTTAAGTAAGGGTAACATTGACATTTTAACTTACAAAGGTTGCAACTAATAGGAAGTAACCAAAAATAGTAAAAGTTGCAAGTAGATGTTAACGGAAGTAGTATTTTTAATCGCAACGTTTGAAATTTTATACTAATAAATATATCATATCATATCACTAATAAATAAAGCCAGTCCTTGGCATTTCAGTTTTTTGCTAAGTATCGAGCCACGTAGACAACAAATAGGTATTCTTGTGATTAGATTAGATGCCACGTTAGATTAGATTGGATAAATTTGTTTAGGATAAAAAAGCATACATAATATAATTTATAATTCTTTTGAAAAAAAATTATCTTTTTATTGACAATAGAATTTTAGTTATAGTGACACACCACATATTATAATTAATATGAGCATCCAATTAACAATAGAATTTTACTCCTATACAAATAACCACGTAATTATAATTATAAATATGGCCATGTATCATTAATTTTTTTAGTCTACCATTGATTTACCATCAAAGATTTTGAATCAAGTATTCTTCATATTCGGTTGTAAAATTTTTGTGTATGTTTGTGAGTTATTATGTGGTATGTGATAATAAGATATTATTATAATACGTAACATAAATATACGGAGTATCATATCATATCATATCACTAATAAATAAAGTCAGATCTCGCAGTTAGGCCACAAGGCAGCGACACTTGACATTCAAGTTTTTCGCTAAATGTTGAGTCACGTAAACGATAAATAGGCATTATTGTGACACATATGATGCTAAGTAAGCGAATTTTCAATAGATATTTTAAGATAAAAATGTTGTATAGAATTTTATTATCGATATACTTCTAACATTTCATATTTACAAAATTAATCATAAGTTTTTATTAATATCATATAATTTGGTGTTTTATTTCTATCATAAAATTCGTTTTAAAAAGTTCTTTAAAATAATCCATTTATAATATATTTTAATTTATTTATTTTAAAAAATAAAAAATAAGTAAAAATAAGATTTAATCAGAAAAAATAATTTTAGTTTGGTAAAATACTTTTAGTTCAGTAAAAATACGTTAAGTTCAATAAAAATAATAACATAAATAGCTAATCACAAACAAAACTACAAAAAATGCACTATTATATAAATTAGCGATATGATATCGTATGTCTAAATATTCTGCATTATTAAAGGGAATATATGATTGTATTTAACATTTAAACCAAAAGATTTTATTCTAAAATTTTATCAACAATCCGAGCATCGCCCGGGCATAAAATTAGTAAATATATAATCCTAATTGTTGGCTATTAAGACAAGGCAGCATTTAGACTCCTAATTTTCAATCTGTATAATGATCAACATTTGTTGTTAGGATTGAAAATAGCTTATCAATATCTTTAAATGCAAAATTAATACTTAATCTGTTTTCTTATAATAGAATAATTAGGTTAATTCTGTGCAATGTACGGTTGTTAAATAATTATAGTGAAAATAAATTTTATAAGAGAAAGTATATAGTATAATTAATTGATTAACCAAAAAGTATGAAAAAAGTATTAAATAATTATAAAAAATAAAATAATAAATAAATAAATTGTTATACTAGGGAATTTGATTTTGTAAGAAGTTTAATTAAATTGTTGTAATAGGAAATTTAATATTTTATATAAAATGAAAGACATAAATTAGATACAAATATTCTTTTTATGTAACAAAAACTTTTTTTTTTTGTAAGAAAGTAATTTTAAAGAGAAATTTTTTAATAATACGTCGCCAAGTGTCATTCTTAGTTTCGCTTTTAGTATTATATGTAATAGATAGACACCAAAGTAATTGAATCACAACCTCATTCTTTAAATAAACTCGGCATATATGGGCTTGGATTGAAAGATGAGCAATTGAGTAACAGCCCAAAGTTAGGTATTGTAGTTACAGCTTAGCCTTACGCGCCTTATCTTTCTTCCAACCCCATTTCTCTTCTCTCTTCCTCTGCCTTCAAAGAACTCAACAACAACAACAACCTTCAAATATTGCACAAATTCAAATAAAATGAGCATAAATATCACTTTCAATCCCACAATCAAAACCATTTCAATCTTCTCCCCCAAAACATCATCCAACCTTCAGCAATTACCATTTCCAATCACACTTACTTCCAAACCACCCACTAATTACTCACAACTTTCTCTCTCCTCAATCTCTCTCACAAGGAGGACATTTCTTCCTTCAGTTTCAGGCATTTGGGATGCTCTGACTGGAGGCGCCAACAATAATCCCCGCGAAGCTGCTCTTGCCATTCGCCGCGGTATGCAGCTGTTTAGACAGGTAATTCATTCTTTTTTTTTTACGCGAGCAAAGTTGTCCCGCATTGGAAAAAAAGGAATAATCTCTCCGTCAAAGCCAAAGTGTCCCGCATTGGAGAAAGATAATTTTTATGACGCGGTTGATTTAGTTCGTTGATTTTCATGTTATATTTTTCTTTTAGTACTCCGAATTATTCATCTTAATTTATTTTTATATTTCTAAATTTATGAAGGGTGATGTAATGGGGTCTGTTGTGGAGTTTGATAGAGCAATTGAGCTTGATCCTCGTCAAAAGGCATGTATGTTTGTAAATTTAAGGGAAGAAAAACGTTGAATTTGCAACAAGCTATAAATTAAATGTTCACTAATTATTTTGTCGATGTGGGTCTGTTTTAGATCTTTGGCAAAGAGGATTGTCTCTATACTATCTAGACAGGTATTATCTGCTTACATAAATCCTTATTTGCCCTGGAAAATAATGCTTCTAATGTAATTAACTAATTACTGCATGAGTATATGATAGTAAAATAATGATGAACAATGTCTGTTAGCCATAAGCTTTGCAGTTGTAGAGCATATATACGAAGTATATCGGTAACACCAGATAGTTGATGCTATCCTCTTACGAACACTTAACTTGAAGAGACAAAATGTGGCAACTTGGAACATTTGGTATTTGAAAAAGTACATGTTTATGTCTTTTTATTGGAGTAATTTTGACAGAAAATAAATGCTTTTGATAGATTTGAAGAAGGTGCGGAGCAATTCAGGTTGGATGTAGCTCAGAACCCAAATGATACAGAGGAGTCAATTTGGTGCTTCCTTTGTGAAGCTCGACTTTATGGGGTTGATGAAGCTAGGAAACGATATCTTGAGGTTAGTTTGTTAAAACTTCAGCACTGAATGCTTGCAATTGAATGCTTAAATGTCTATGAACACTGATGTTACTGATTACCACTAGTTCTGTTTTCTGTTTCTGATTAACGATGACTGAGATCAACCATTTTCTCAGGTTGGTAGAGATCCAAGACCGGTGATGCGCCAAGTCTACGACATGTTCAAAGATGGTGGTGATCCTCAGAAGGTACTAGTTACAATATACTTTATTCAGTTTTTCTATCTTTTTGTTTTCCGATAAGATTAACTTGACTGATAACCAACTGTCAAAACTTGAATAAAGTGGCTGTTTTTGTAATTTCTTCCTGCTAACTGGTTTATAAACATTGCAGTATGGCTTGCTAAGAATTCTTGTATGTGGGAGTGGGACAAAATGCTCTTCCGCATTACATGAAACAAGAAAGAAACTGTTACTCTTTGCATTTCACAAATTGCGCTTGTGTTAAATGCTTCTATGGTTATTTAAAGTTAAATATTAATCAGAGATCTGTTTCTTCTGTATTAATCAGAGATCTGATTTATAATCTATGATTTCTTTCTTCGTAGCTGGTTGATACATTCTCAAACAGTCGAGATGGAGAATATTTTTATGCATCTCTGTATGCTGGCCTCTATCATGAAGCACTGGTATTGAATCCCTTTATTCTCATACAGAGTACTATTTTTTTAGATTATATGATTATTACGGACTAGATTCTACCAGCTTCTGAAAAACACAATGTGAAAATTTCATGTTTTCAATGCATAATTGATAATTTAAGTGTGATTAATTAGGATGCTTGTACCCATTAGTCCATGACAGCCTCAACTGGGTTTCTGATTGTGCAGGGTGAAGAAGACGCAGCTAAGAAATATATAGTTGCTTCTTGCCAATCCCCTTATGCACAAAGGTCTATCACCGCAACCCATACCTACAAATTTACAGACTGCTTTCGTTATATTCATCTAAATTTATTACTAAAATCTTCATTTCAGGTCTGACGATTACATGGCTTCTTTAGCCAAGGTCCATTGTATATGTAGAAACTGGAGCTTAAATCCAACTTCAACTTGAGACCAACATTTGGCCTAGAGCTGATCATTGTGTTCACATCCATCTTAGATCCAGGTTTCGACATGAAAGACAATGTATATGAAGAGATCTTGGCATAGCAGTCAAGACATTTTTTACTTGCAATTGTTAAATATATAAGGAGTTTTGGTCATGAATTACCAAAATTTTGGCAATCCCAGCATTACATATATGGAAGCAGTTTGGTCACGACATTTATGTAGATAATGTGTATGGCTTCTTTGTTATTGAAATAAGCAAAAGATCAGCTTGAAAATTTTACTTTTATATTACAAAGAAGCTAATTAACATCAACAAGATACATCTATATAAATTTGATGTTACTTGATAATAAAATTTAAACTAAAAATGCAAGGCTTTACCCTCCTAAGAGGGAGCCCTTCCAGAAATTCTCGACGGCCAAGGTCAAGCCCAGGCCGAAGAGGGGGTTTGGAAATAGTTTTCAACCAGCAATTGACGCGCCTCGGTTATTACCTCACTAGCTGCGTCATTGCCCCAAGCGCAAAGATAATTAATTTGTTATTCGAAGTTGGTTTTTATAATCCTCATTCGCTTGCAGTCTGTACTCATCTGTCTCTTGTAAATCATGCATAAAGCATAATAATGTATACCTAGCGTTTAGCAGTGTTTCTTTTTTTATCAAAGAATGAACCTATAATATAAATATAAAACATACTTTGCCAATAATAAGATAATAATTTTTTTTTTCGAGACATACTTTGACTTTTGTATTATCCATAAACTATACTTTGACTACCTTTTGTGATTTATAGCTACGATAAAATATAGTCATGTAGGATCTTTTTTGAATCGTATCAATGTAAATTTTATTAATAATCATTTTTTATAATTTACAGTGTTAAATAGTTAAAATTGTGCATTGGCCAAAAAAAAAAAAAAAAAAAAAGGTACCATGTTTATAGAAGAGTCACTGACATATCCAAAATTTTTATGTACAATATGCACAATTATTAAAGAAAAAAGGTAAAGAGTTTGTTTCTTCCCTCTTTTCAAAATAAATGTCCAGTTTGACTGAGCGTGCATGAAAAAAATTGATATTCAGAAATTATATATTAAGACGATTACAACAATTACTCATTTACTCAGATGATTATATTTTCTCTTATGTACAACTCATTAATATTAATAAAAATCGTGTTATAGAAATAGTATAAAAAGATAAATTGGGGTCTTTATTTTGTACGGGGGAGTACGAGTTTGGTGAAAACTCAATCCTCCATAACCAAATTCCAATATACATATTTTACTCTTTTTTTCGTCTAGAGTTAATGATTCTGATTGAGCCAATATTGTAAATAAATTAACATGACATTTTTATAAATAACTCGACATTAGTGAGTTATCATGAAGATAAACTTTTATCTAGGAATTTATCGTAGACTTATTTCACTAAATCACTTATGATAGACGAAAGTTACAACATGAGCTAAACAACTAATGAGTTATACCTTATACCCCAATTTTAAATAAGATGAGCCACTAACAATAATATTGTTATTGATTAATGAATTATAAGTACATTGTGGGACATCAATCATAGGCCATATCAGCATATTCGTGGTTGATCAAGCATAACATATTTGGATATTCTTCAACGCGATCCCAAAGTTCCGAACGGTTGGTATATGCCTACATTATATGCTCCGCCAACCAAGGCGGCAACATCACTACTACACAGGTAACACAACTAAACAAATTTGTCAAAATTGGCACCACACGCTCATAAGACATTAGGCCTTATTGCCTTAAGTTAAATCGGTCGGATTCATATAGGGTTTTGATTTGTTAGAGCGGTTTTTTCTAGCTCGCCCCTTATAGCCCTTATAGCCCCAAAAACAACCAATTTAAACTATTAATCTTAGTTTCTAGAATGTATCTTTACATTATTATCCTGGCTTTGAGGCCAATTTGAAAGTTGAAATAAAAATAATATTAGAGGAATTAGCGTATCTTTATTAGGAAAATCATGTTTGTGGCAATGATGGTAGATAATTTATGTTGTAGTGTTGTGGAGTTAATATAAAATTAAGTATAAATTGTTAATAAAATCCAAAGTGAGTGACTTATATCATAATAAAATTGATCAGGACTCAATTAAGGAAATGATCTAATTAGATTAAAAATAGACCAAAATCTCTGAATTTTATTTTTCTACTGAAGACAACATACTCACACAATCACACTTGTATAAAACAAGAATGTACATCGAAACTTATAAAATATAAAAGAATTACACAATATTATTACACTAACGCAAATGACAAAAACTAATCAGCGAAATTAGTTTTATATTCTTATTATAATACCCCTAAATTTGTTCCATTTCCGGATTCAAAAACTTCATCTTGCATTTGTATCAATCCAAAAAAGAAACAACAGAAAACACTTTGGCTAAACACCGAAAATGGTTAAGATTGAATGAGAAAAAGTCGAAATAATAACAAGTTTAACAACCACTTGTTGTCTTAAAAGGAATATTCCACACAAATCATCCCAAAATTCTTTCCTATATTCCAAAATACCACCCCAAAAATCCAAACAAAATCACACGAAATTACACGTGGCAACAAACGACACCCACCTTAAAAAAAACAAGTCTATTTCTCCGCAATTTGGCGCACAACAAATCCTCCTCTCCTTCCCCTCCATTTCATTTCTCCTCCACATTATATTATACAAAAGTGAAACTACAAAATTATTTAAATTCTCAAATCCTTCATAATTTATAGTGATTGTTTGATTGTTACATTGATTAGATATGTCGTCGGCGGCAACGGAGAAGTTGCTCGGCGACAGTGAGCGGGTGCACTACACACCAATGCAGCCGGCGTCGTCGGCGAAAACAACTTTGTTACGGCAAGGCTCTGATATTACGGCGGCGATGTATTCTCCGATTTTCGAGGAACTTCCAAAGGCGACGATATTGTCTGTATCAAGGCCTGATGTTAGTGATATTACTTCTCTGCTTCTTTCTTACACTTACACCATTGAAGTCCAGTACAAGCAGGTTCACTTTCTCTCTCCTCTAGTTTTTTCGTAAGAAAATGTCATTGCAAAATTGACGATGTTGAATTATTTGATTTTTGTATTTTTTTTTGTATAATTGTTTATAGTTCTGTAATTTTGTGTGATTGTAGTATTTCATTTTGTTTATTTGGTGAAATGGTGGATTATTGATTTATTGTATACTAATAATTTGCAAAACACTGTTTTTTAGGTTTAATTTTAATGTCGTATCTTGGAAGTTTATACTAATAATTAATTACCTACTAAATATTCTTGTGTAGTACTAGTAGCAGGTAGATTGATGCTTTGCTTATAATATTAGTAGCAGATTGCCAGATTGTGAGTTTAAGCTCCTTAATTAGGTAGATTTTTGATGTCTTGGTTATTATATTATTTAAGATTAAGCTTAGTTGGTAGATTATGTCTCATACTACTCGAAGCGATTGCAAACATAATTTTGACTATCAATATTTTTTTAAGTATCAATTACATACGATGTTTGCAAATGGTCCATTCGATATCTTACCTATTAACTTTTGTTTCCATATATAATACAAAGTATAACATTATATAAAAGTAATATAGAATTTTGAATATATACATTAAGATAAAGCCAACTATGTCTTACATAATGCAGTAACTTTTGTTTTCATCATATAATATAAGTAGTAAAAAAAAATGGTCAAAGTGTTGTAAGTAATACATGACTACGGAGTATGATTGTTTGAAGTTTTCTACTCGCTTGTTGATTGTATTACAGGCAAACTAAGAATTAGAGGCATGTAAATAGATTATTGTGATCACGACTGAAATTAAATAATGATGCCAGATTATGTTGCCAGATTCATTATCTTTGTGCAGTCATTAGTCCTTAAACTAAAGTCTTCGGTGATAAGAAGAATTGGTTGTGGGCATGTGACATTGTGACATGTATCTTTATCAGGATACGATTCTCTTCATTCTTGAATGTGAATGCTACATAGACTTGTGATTTCTTTTTGAAGCCATGTTAGCTTTAGTTACACGCGAGTATGTATCCAAGTGCAAGACTTGACCATGTTATGAAAAGTTTGCATGTCTAGGTCTAAAGCGAAGTGTATTGTGCAGTGTACTCTTTTAGAGTGTGAATTTCCAACATGCATACTTTTACGTGAGGTAAAATGTGGATTTTTTGTGATTATTTTGCATGGAGTGTTCAGTATCTCATTTCATGTATGTACTTGAGTTGAAATGAAGAGAGTTCCAGTGTTGGGCAGGAACAGCCAGATGTTAAGGAGAATTAGGACTCTAGAGGTGGCCAATCTTCAAGTGCACTTGCAGAATTGGACAAACTTAGCTGACTCCGTATAAGACGAAGCATACAAGAAAAGTTTATTTGTCCATCTGCTCTTGCTATAAGCATTGATAAAAAAAAGTCATGCATGTCGCATCCTGATTCTCTTGTGCAATGGTGTTTTTCCATGATATGTTCTGGTCAATTTTACAGTTTCTGAAACTCTAATTGTGCTCATTATTCTGAGCAAGTTTTTGATCAATATGTATTTGATTTATGTGGAAGAGATTCTTCTATAGTAAAGTGTGCAATTTTCACTTTCTTTGTTCCAATTTACCATAGAATTCATCAGACTTTTGTTTGAACAGTTCAGGTGGCTGCTACAAAAGAAAGCTACGCAAGTTCTCTCCTTGCACATTTCTTTGAAGAAACGAGCAATCTTTGAGGAATTTCATGAGAAGCAAGAGCAGGTATGTCTTCAATATCTTCTAATCATTTTGTTTTTTACCTTTAAGTAAAAAAAAATATGAACTTTATTTTGTGCCTACTTAGTCATTCTGTTGTCATTGCGCTCTACTATGATTAGTCCTGTAGGATTAGGAACCATTAAATTAATGACTGTGCTTTATGCTTTTATGAAGCTCTGATATCTTTGTAATGTATGCAATTTGCAAAGGTGAAAGAATGGCTTCATAATCTAGGAATATTAGATCATGCAGCAGTGATGCATGATGACGATGATTTTGATGATGATGTAGTTCGCGCTCACCAGGATAGTAGTTCACGTTATCAGTGAGTGGCTCTTAGTATCTTGTTTTTCTATAAAGCTTCAGATTTGAGGATTTCTTGGACTCTATAACCTGTATTTCAAAATGTTTCTCATGCAGCAACATTCCCTCTAGAGCTGCCTTTTCCATCATCAATCCATCTGTTGGGAGGCAGGAGTTCGTTGCAGAAAAAGCAAAGGTCGCAATGCAGGGATATTTCAATCACTTTTTAGGCAACTTGGAAATTGTAAATTCTCGACCGGTGAGTTGAGTATTAACTGCAACTTTGTACAGCTGAGAATGAGAAAGCATTTCTCCCCTAAAATCTAAGCATTTCCATTCTTATTTAAATATTTCATTAGAGGCATATATCTTAACAGTTGGAGTCAATAATCTTTCCTTACGTGTGATTATATGTTTAAAACCAGTAACAACAAATTACAGTATGTATGCTTTGGAACATTTTCTTTTCATGTGTCCCCTTCAAGGCTTCTAGTATAAGCTATTTTCTTTTATTGCCTTTTAAACATTGGTGTTCTTCAACTTCACTCCTAAAAACTTTAGCTCTTGTCTTGAAATATTTTATTATAATGTGTGTTGTGTCTCTGAATTAGAGCATAATACATTTGATTCACCTTTCTTATGTTGACCTGAATACACAAGCATTTTCATGGTCACTAAATTGGATCTCGTTAGAGAAAACTAATTACTTCATAGAGTCCATAGATTCCATACACTGATACACATGACTTGTATTGCCATATTGCTGCAGTGTATAGATAAAGTGCTATTGTGCATCCCCCAAGTTGTATATGCTTTTATCATTTGTTCATTCTCAAGGATATCTTATTAGTCTGTATAATTTGTACTCCCTGTGTTGCTCTCTGTCCACTTATCATTAGAGTTCATGAATTACAGGTGTGTAAGTTTTTGGAGGTATCCAAACTATCATTTCTACAAGAATATGGCCCAAAGTTGAAAGAGGATTATGTGTCAGTGAATCATCTAGTGAGAATGCCACGGAAAAATGTCACTAGACACTGTTTTCCTTGTCAGTTGTTCGGTTGTTGCCGATGGCAAAAGGTGTTTCATGTTTTATATTTCTGTGAATTTCTATGTTATATTTACAGCCAAATTGAGCTCTATTATACCTTTATGCAGGTGTGGGCTGTGCTAAAACCTGGCTTCTTAGCCTTTCTAGAAGATCCTCTTGATATGAAATTATTGGACATAATTATTTTTGATTCATTACCATCCTCATGTAATGAAAAAGTATATCTAGCTTATGAGATCAAAAGCCGCAAGCCTCTACATTATTCGTTTAAGGTATGTTTCTAAGCATGAACCTTATTGTATAACTGAAGGATTTAAACTTGTATCCTTGTTAAAATGTATTCAGTTCACCCAAAGACAAAATCTTGATGTAATATTGTCACTGTGATTGCTTGTTGTTGAGTGGTCTTGGTTGAAGATTACACTACAGTTGATACAAGTCAAAATTAAACGTGTCAATTGGATGAATAACTGAGAGAAAACAATATTACCTGCTGAGAAAAGCTGTGCAGCATGTAAAATTATATCCGTGGTCTAAAAGGCTTTTCTTGCCATCAGCATGTAAAATTTTATCCGTGATCAGCATGAATATATTTTTTTTTATTGTATTCCTAATTGGAAAATTTATGAGTTTACCTAAGCTAGTAGATGTAAACTTTTGTAAACTGTAACCTGACTGACGACTAGGTTTCTCACTGTTTCATACTCCTCTAGTCCTCTTGTTCTGCTTTGTTTTTCTTATTTGAATTTTCAAGTTATTAACTTTGACCGTTTAGTCTAGTGATTTCAGAATATCTGTCAGGGACTATCAGGATAATTGCAAGCCACAACCTCCAAATGCAACCCCCCTCCCCCTCTAATAATTTTTTGCCAAAGTTTCCCACCTTTGATCCTAAAAGGTTCAATAAGAAAAGAACTGTGGAAGTTAAGGAGTACTAATTGAATTATGTATATTATCAAAAAACCATATAGTGTCAAAGAACCAACTCAACCAAAAGCTTAAGCTGATGGTTGGAGCTCCAAGTTTGGTTATATGTTCTATTTGATATATACAAAATGTGCATCAGAGTTTCAAAATATCTAAACCCTCTAACTAATTTATTTGGTTTTTACTAGTCAAATGTTTTAGTATAGGCAAACTCTAGTTGTCTAGGATCTATGTGCTTCTAAGCCTTGCGAACTCTATGATATTTTTCTTTGGAATTGTCGCAACTTGCTAGATCTCCTGTGGCAACTGGAGTGTAAGGCTGAGAACTTCCAGCAGTAACAAAGTCAAAGACTGGGTAGCTGCAATTAATGATGCTGTTCAAAGGCCACCTGAGGGTTGGTGCCATCCTCATCGTTTTGGCTCTTTTGCACCCCAAAGGAAGAGTGACGATGGGAGCGAGGCTCAATGGTTCATAGATGGGGAATCGGCATTTGATGCTATTGCTACAGCCATTGAGAATGCTAAGGCAGAGGTTGGTTCCTAAAACAGCAAGATCATTAGCATATAATTATTGTAACCAATGCCTGGAATTTTGTTGCAGATATATATTACTGGTTGGTGGCTCTGCCCAGAGCTATATCTGAGGCGTCCTTATCGGAATCATGAGTCCTCCCGGTTAGATGTCTTACTTGAATCTAAGGCGAAGGAAGGAGTTCAGGTGCATACTTATTTAATAGTTTTTTCCTCCTCTTATATGAATATAGTTGATGGTTTCTTTCTCTGTGGAATTTGACCCTCTGTCATGTACATTATCTAGTAAAGAGATTGACTGTCTCTTAGATTCTAGCATTAAAAAGAATCTTAATAACATTTAAAATCCTTTGTATTTGAACCAAGTTAGAAGCATATGCTTAGCTAGTGAGGGGTTTGTACTTCTGCGAGGCACCATCTAACCTTTTAAGTGATACACTGAAATATATATTGAAATTGATGGGAGGGGGGGGGGGGGAGTGGAAGTTGGTACTTGTTACTGACCACGGGCTGGGACGAAGGAAGTAAACTTTTGTGTTTGTAACTTTGAACCAAGTTGAGCAGAATTAATCATATAATGAGATAAGTGAGGAGTTTGTACTTCATGTCACATGAATCAAACTCTGAATTGGAGCTAAAAGGGAGGGGTGGAGGTTATTTTAGTAGAAAAAAGCAACTTTATCCAACTAATTTTGCAATTTCATAAAGCCAGGTTGTTTGTTTTGTCTTAACTGTTTTGAGATCAAAATTTTCAATAAAGTAAGGTCAATCTAATTTCTAGTGACTCACCATACTTTTCAAGCTTTTCGTTGCTGTGTTAACTAAGCTTGATTTCTATTTCTGACAATTATCCTCATCAACATCTTCAAGTTTCAGGTCTTGCACTTTCAAGTTTTCATGAATTAAAAAATTTCCACATTTAGTTTGTTCACTTATATAATATGAGAGGACAGTAGGACACCGTTGTGCTCAGATGTGCAGGGTTGATAACTTGATATTGCTTCTTGAATTCGTAAGAATGAAGAACTAACAAAGTTTTAGTGGTTTCTGTATTGTTTATTTGACTACTATCATTGCTGTGCAGATTTATGTACTTCTTTACAAGGAGGTTTCTATAGCTTTAAAAATTAACAGTCTTTATAGTAAAAGAAGACTCCTCAACATTCATGACAATGTGAGAGTGTTGCGCTATCCTGACCATTTGGCAACTGGAATATATTACTGGTGTGTAGCCAAAAAAATACTTATTAGTAAGACAGTTTGTTAGAAATTTGTTGAATGGAATTTTGTGATAATATTGTCTTTCCAATTTTATGCATGCTGTAAGTCAATTTTGTAGAACTTGCTTCTTGTCAGGTCACACCATGAAAAGATCGTAGTTGTTGATAACCAAATATGCTTTATTGGAGGCCTTGATTTGTGCTTTGGACGTTATGACACAGTTAGTCACAGAGTGGGTGATCTTCCTTCCCAAGTTTATCCAGGAAAAGATTATTACAACCCCAGGTTTCCATACTGTTTTTGATATTCTAGAAAATCTTAACTATTATAAATCTTTCCAATTACTTCTATTTCAACACCAAGTTTTCAGTCTACTATATTCCTTAATTTGTTTGTATATTATATACGTATTTATATATTTATTATTTATTGTTATAGAGAGTCAGAACCAAATTCTTGGGAAGACATGATGAAAGACGAATTGGATCGCCAAAAATATCCTCGTATGCCATGGCATGATGTTCACTGTGCTCTTTGGGGACCACCCTGTCGTGATGTTGCTAGGCACTTTGTTCAGCGGTGGAACTATGCTAAGGTAGATTTTATAATTCTTTCAGTTTTTGTTTTGGCATGTATTAGCCAAAGTTTACTTCTGAGTTCTGACGTGATTATCATCGTGGCAGAAAAGTAAAGCTCCATATCAACGGACAATACCTCTGCTCATTCCTCGTCATCACATGGTTCTTCCCCATTATTTAAGAAGTACAGAGATTAACATCCCGAAGAATGAGGAGCGACATAGTGAAAACACAAATAGACAGGATCTCTTTTCTCCAGAATCACCAGAACTGGATGTCCCACTGCTTCTGCCTCGAGATTCAGAAGCAGTAGATGCATCAAGATGTAATAATACTGTTCAAAATATTCAAAATAACTTTGATTGGACAAACGAGGAACATGGAAATTCATCTTTCCATGATGCTAAAGTTGAATCTGTAACCCAACATACACAACTCGATGAGTTAGTCGATCAAGCTCAACCTGAAAACATGTCTGATAAAATGCTGTCCTCTTCTACTCCGAATTCAATTGAGTGGTGGGAGGCACAAGAGCGAGGTAAACAGGTTGATTTCACGAGTAAACCTTCCCAAATTGGTCCCCGTACTTCATGTCATTGTCAGGTATCTTCTGATTGAAATATTGTGATGCAGCTGGTGCTGTTCTATAGGAAAATTGCTTGTTTTTGGTGGAGATCTGTGAGATCAATGATAACTAATTGGCAGTTTCTAATACGTCAAAACATTTAGTAATATACTAACCACCTATATTTCAATGTTCAGGGGGTTGCTGTTACAGCATATATAGTAGAAGCTGCTTAATCAGAATAGTACTGCATGTCCGTATTCTAGCACATATGATTATTTCGTAGTTCCTTGAATTGATGAGAAATCACTAATAGAACTTGCAAAACAATCTTGTCTTTCTATCCAAAACATGTTTATTAAATATCAGGGGCTGCTTCCTATCTTTTCAGCCTAATCTCCACTCTCCAGCTTCTATTTGGCTCTAACCTCTTGCTTTTGCTCTCTTGCTCTCTAGTTACTTGGTGTTCCCATGTCTGATACATATCCTACACCTCAATCTGACATGAATACTTGATTTATTGGGTACATTCTTATGTGTAATAGGAAAATAAAAAATACTAATAATCTTTCCGTTTTTTAGGGCAGTCATGCTAGATACTTCTAAAAGGTTCAACACCTGTGAAGAGATATAGCTTTTCACTTAATTTCCATATCACTGCTGTATGTATCTTGGCTCATTGTAAGTATGCTTTAGGACCTTTTTGAATGAAAATTATCTATTTAGGCATTATGGTGAAGTTTGCTCAAGGTAACTTTTAATTAACCATAATCACATGTAAAGCACGGCAGTATTGATTGAAAATGACATATTCATCTTCTGTTAGGCATTGGGGATTTCAAATCACTTTGAGCTTTTTCCCCTCATTATTTGTTGAAGTTTTTAATAGTTTAATGCTTTTACTAAATTGACTTAACTCTGATCTCCTTCTCATTGCATTCAATATGTCTAGATTATCAGAAGTGTTAGCCATTGGTCAGCTGGAACAAGCCAAGATGAAGAAAGTATTCATAAAGCTTATTGTTCCCTTATTGAGCAAGCAGAACACTATATTTATATTGAGGTAAACTCATTGAACAAGTGAAGTGAGGTTGTCGTAGCAAAGACTTCATCAGTTATTATCTGGTCTACAGATTGATGATTATTATTTCAGATTCTAGGTGTAACAGTGCATTACATTTTGAATGTCTAGCAGCTCTCATACAAATAACTTTGATATGCTCTCATTTTCATGAAATGAACTGCACTACCATACCCTTCTCTCCAGCATTTGTTTTAGCATGTCGTGCTCTATAATGCACCTTTTTTGTAAATATAACACTAGTTTATTGTAGTGAAATATTAACATTGCTATGCATGCTGTCTAATATCTCTAGATATGACTCCCTTGCTTATTCGTTTCCCTCATTTTTGCTGCTCCAGAATCAATTTTTCATATCAGGCCTTGAAGAAGATGACATAATACAGAATCGAGTCATGGAGGCTTTATGTAGGCGTATACTCCTAGCACAAAAACAACAAAAATGCTTCAGAGTTATTATAGTCATACCTCTGCTGCCGGGATTTCAGGTATTAATTGTAAATTTCATCCTGGAAGGTTAAAAAGTGCTGACTCATTCTTACCTTTGGCTTTGATTTTTGTCAAAAATAGGGTGGTATGGATGATGCTGGTGCAGCTACTGTGAGAGCCTTAATGCATTGGCAATATCGAACCATTTGCAGAGGAGAAAACTCAATATTCCATAAACTTAAGGCTGAACTTGGTTCGAAGACAGATGATTACATTTCATTTTATGGCCTTAGAACATATGGCAGGCTTTATGAAGGTGGACCTCTGGTCACCAGCCAGGTAATTTTATTATTTCATGTCCTGGCTTTTGAAGGGTTTGACTGCTTTGTCTAGGTATTAGGTGACACTATCCCTTGCGATACTTATAACTTAGGAACAATTTCCCTCCTCACAATTTGCACTCCTTAAAGCATTGCAGGAATCAAATTTCCTTGGATGGTTACTTGTTTTGATGAATTCCATTTGCAACAAATTCTACTAGGAGTATTTGTGTGTCTACCTATGATCAATCCTATTCTGTATCTAAAACTGCATCCAATCAGCTTTAGTGCATTGTGGGAAGGAAAGAACCACTGACAACAATGAAAATAAGTAGATTTATTGCATTGTTTCATTATGTATGATACATTTTGGCTTAGAGAGGAAGACTTTGTTTACATCAACGAAATGAGTAATTTCTGATAAGCAAACCAAATAGAGCAATAGAAAGTAAGTTAACCATCTCAAAATAGAAATTTTCATAAATGAACAAGATATGCTGTCAGGTTATGCTTTTTACTGCATAATTTAAAGAGAACTGTTTCTTGTTTTGAATTTTCCTAACTTGCAATCGTGTGATTTTTCAGGTATATGTCCATAGCAAGCTGATGATAATTGATGACCGTATTGCTTTAGTTGGGTCATCCAACATCAATGACAGGAGCTTGCTTGGATCAAGAGATTCTGAGGTACTCTGTCTGCTTTTTATTTAAATAGGAGATGTCTTACTCTGTCAACAAGGTGGTTTTTTCTACACAATCATGAGTATTAGAGAATATTGGCCTATGTGGCTGTGACTACTAAAAATCCTTTGCTCCATCCTATTATATTCTCTTATTGTGCTACACCACTTTTATCTGTTAAAGCACCAATAACATATTCATAAATTGATGGTGCGTCAAAAAATCAAGAGGAGATAGGACACAAGATGGGACATGATCTCGCCTAATAGTCAAAAAATCAAGAGTAGAAAGGACACTGTTGTTTTCCAAAGGGGGGAAAAGAAAACTACTCCATGCTTGTAGTAGTTAATTGACAGGAATAAGTTATAAAACCTGAAGTGTCACAATTGTTTATAATTTATGATAAGAGGAAAGAGTTATTGAAATTTGCCTGAGGATTTCAATACTGGTTCTGACAAAGAAGCGGGGCTTTGAGATTCACCTATTGATCAAAGCACTTGCCCATGAACCTTGACTGAGGTGATAACTGATGATTGGGGATATTGTCTCTTACATGACTTTCTTTTCATAATTTTTCAAAATTCGTTGCTCTTTTTCCCTCTTTTCTAGGGCAAGGTGTAACAGCTGTGATCCTAGTCCAGTTCAAATTTGCTTAGTATGGGTATCAGACATTAATACCTAACTTTATCAACTGTGTATAGATTGGAGTAGTTATTGAAGATAAAGAGTTTATAGAGTCATCTATGAATGGACAGTCTTGGATGGCCGGAAAATTCAGCTCAAGTCTCCGGCTTTCCCTATGGGCTGAGCATCTTGGACTCTCTGCTGGAGAGGTAAGATTTATTTCACCTTGCTACCTAAGCCATTGTTCATTGATCCAGTGTTGTATTCAACTATAAAGTGGTGGTGGAATTCTAATAATCCGATTTCACTCGTTCAGATGAATCAGATCAAAGATCCTGTGGCTGACAAAACATACAAAAATTTATGGATGGAAACTGCCAAGGTTTGTGAAACAATATTAATATATCATTGAGTCCAGCATTCTTCTATTTTTCTATTGCATAGAACTGTAGCTAAGAAGTAAATCTGTACAAACTATTTAAAAAAAGAGTGGTGTAATCAGGTTTTATGCCACTTGATAACTTGCACCTTTCCGGTAGTCTGCAGTTGCCTTGGTCTTTTCGCTCATGCATGCATTTTAATCATATGTTTTGTCTGTCTTTTTTTTCTTTTTTTTTCTCCCAGGCAAATGCTTTGATTTATGACGTCGTCTTTGGATGCACACCAAATGATCGTATACACTCCAAGTATGCTTGTTCTTCAACTTGAACTTGTACTTGCTGAGCATAATGCTGCTTTTGTGTTGTTCACATTATATTTTCCTCTTGTGCAGGAATGCTTTTAGACAAGAAATGTCGCAGTTAACAGAGAGTATTGGTTATACAACCATAGATTTTGGTGTAGCGCCTCAAGTGGTAAAGTTTTATGAAGATGGGATGCTTAAGACATCAGACCCTCTAGAGATGTTAAAATCGGTCAAGGGTAACATTGTTTGCTTTCCCTTGGAATTCATGAAGCACGAAGATTTGAGACCTATGTTCCACGAAGGAGAGTTTTATACTTCTCCTGAAGTATTTCACTAGCATGCTTTCCATTTCATGGTAAGCATACATAAAACATTTAGTTGTGACTTGTGAATATGGGTTTAGCAGAAACTTGAAAGATGGGTGGATAGTCGGATAAACTATACTATGGTTGTGTAGGAAATTCTTTGGGTATTGGGTAGAACTCGTAGAAGATTCAATTTTTAGGGTCCCTCTTGTTCAAGCATTTTAAACTTTTAACTATACTAGTTTAAATCTCATGTAACATAGATGATGATTGATTCTTTGTTTTACTAGCTTGACAATAATATTGTACAGAAAATTTTGAAATTTGTCTAATGAATTTGACAATAATAATAATGTACATAGTGAATTTGAAATCACTTGACTTGGCTTATTTATGTACTATAAATACAGTATATGCATAGGAGATAGCAATTATTTACAAACGGAAATCTGAAACTGGAAAGCTTCCGCAGGTTCTCAATGATTTTGGTGAAAAATCTAAATTATTGTATGCATACAACTATACAAGTACTCCATAATTTTTCCTTAATCAAAAGATGTGAGATTTGTTTATGAAAGACATTTTAGTTTTTATGGTATAAATATTGTCCCCATAACACATAATAATAGGAGAAATATATTAATAAAATGTCATATAACACAAAATCGACCCATATCCTATATCTAATTATGCTGTAAGAGAAATATAATTGTTAGTCATACAAATAAATAGGGTAAAAAAAAAAGTCAAATAATATGAGACGAAGAAAGTATTTACTAACAACTCAGACACATTAAACACAAAAATACAAGCTTCAATAGCTAAGCGTACATAACTACGACTCTACCAGTACATACAAAACAAAGGACCTTAGATTTTACCTCAATCTAAAAGGACCTTAGATTTTACCTCAATCTAAAAGGACCTTCCCTAAAAAAACAAAAAAGTTGAAAATGACATATTTTTGTTCTCACGGAATACTGGAGTGGTAATGGCAATGGCAATGGCAATGGACTTTGAAGAGGGAAATGAATGGGCCACAAAACTGTCAAAATCACAAATGCATTAATATATCACTGGCTTTTACAGAACAATAGTAGAATGACAATTGGATCCATGGAAGTTGGATGTCATGTGATGTGGGCCAGTCCAAAAGGCCCACTTTTACCCAAAATCTTAAAAAGGCGGTACTACCTACCAAATACCAACATTTCACTTTTTCTTTTACACGTTATTTTTCTGCCCTCACAAATCACAATTATCATCATTTATTATCAGCCGTGTGAGCCATGCTACAAATCGAAATTTCTTGCGAAAGTACGGTATGAAGTAATACTCTATAAGATTCTCATCTCAATTAATTGTTTTCCTTTGGTAAGTAAATAATATTGACAACTTTATGTCATCTCAATTAGTTGTTGAGATCATATGTCTCAATTTGTGTTACATCTTTAATGATTTAGTCACGTCACTTAGAAGTAATATACTCCTTGTTCACATTTGATGTTTCTTAATTGAATCAATAATGAATGTGTGGGGATGTATTAAGAAATAAGAAACTCCCTGTACTCCTAATTTTCTAAACTTTTTTCTATTAAAAGTTACTGTGTAAAGGGTGAGTGAGATCCATAAGGTAAGTCGTTGTAGATAAAATGAGAGAATATGCTTGTAAATGAAAGTTGACGAGCATGAAAAACAAAAAACAAATGGATTAGATGCATCCAATGTTCCAATTAACTTAAGAATTAGGTATGCCGAAAGATATATTTGCTCATTTATTCATGTTTTTGTTATATAATACATCTCTTCATTAGAGGGACAAATTTAGCATTATATAGCTTATATGTGTAGTTATGCGTGTCATGCATGTAAAGGGCGGCTAATCTAATCCCTCTCATCCATCGACTTCAACAAGTTTAACGTAAGCATCAAAGTCAACCAACAAACAAATAGCACCTTTACCCTTTGCAACAAATGAGTTAATGGCCTCTTTGTAAATTTCAATCTCTCGAAATATGTCAAAGGGTAATTGAACTACAATTCTTGAAAAAAAGAATGGAAATAATGCCTTATTTCCTTCCATCTAGAAGACTAAGCTAGAAACATGTCAATAATTTTACCAAAAAAAAAAAGAAAAAAAAAAAAAAAAAAAGAAGCTCATTTAAAGCAAACACTTCATAATTTGAAGAATGAACAAAACTCAAAAGAACTTAGTTTGTGTGGTTATGACTCATGAGGTTAAGTACCATTATATTATACGATAATATAAGTTACAATATTTTTGAAAATTCCTACTTAATATAGTTATACGAATATTAAAAAGTACATATGTAGTATTAGTTTAAGATGTTAAGTCTTGATCTATAATGTCGTCAAACATGCTTGTGGAACACATATTAGCAAATTTGAGTATATATTATCCGTATAATTTAATTTGTAGGTGTCAGCTTATTTAGAAATTAAGTCTTGATTCATAATATTAGCTTATTTGGAAATTAAGTCTTGATTTATAACGTCAGCTTATTTGGAAATTAAAATTTTTAGTTTTAAAATTCATCTGAACTAATAAAATATTAATGTTGTTTTATAAAATTGTACTCATATTATATTACATCGAGTTTATGTGTTTGTCCCATTAAAATTTGTTTTGACTTTATATTAGGAGAGTATGAGATTTGTTGAACTTGCTTAAAAAATCAATTATATGACGTTTTGATTAAAAAATAGTTTAAAGGAATCAAGTTACATGTCGATAAAGCTACTAATACGCAAAGATACAAAAACTCATCATTATATATATATAAAATACGTTTTATAAAAAAAATTACAACTTCTATATTATATATATTCCCTCCATTGCGTTATATGTAGTATATATGATTAGCGTACGGAGTAATACATTTTTTATATAATCGGATATTCTCTTACCTTTAATTTTCCTTGCATTTTCTGATTTTTCTCTTTGGGAAAGTCTATGGCAATAAATTAAAAATAAATAAATAAATACATAAATAATAATCTGGCTTACAAGGGGAAATTATTCACCGAGTATATATAAAATCTCCATTATTCCTTAGTCCTTAACTCCATGCATGCAAGATCTCAGTCTAATAAAAAGGAAAATGGAATATAATTAAATCTAGCTTACTTTTTTAGTGTAGTATTGTACTCGTACTCCGTAAATTATTGAATTAATTATCATATTTTTACAAAAAAATACTGCAAACGACTTCTCATAAATTCAAGATATATCCAAATAACAATGATAAATTGATAATTGGGAAGTACATAATATACACAAATTTAAAACAACGATGCAATAGATATTTGTCGAAATGCAACATTTGCAATCAAACAAATTAAACAACAAAATAAAATAGGGACACTGCAGGTTGGAAAAAAAGTCATGGCACTGCCCAAAATAGATTTACCCAGCTAAGCTCTAAGATTGTGTTTCTATAAATAGTCAAAATGTTGGTCATCTTCTAATTAATAAAGAATATGTCACATTTCTAATTTGGGTATATTTTAACTACCCATTAATATACTGGGTACTGTAAACCTCAAGATTATTCTAGTTAATAATATTATTAATTTTGGGTGATAATAGCAAGAGCACCTTCTAATTGACGACAAGTTCTATCTTCTTGGAACTTCCATGATGCATGCATGGTAATTAACCATTTTGTTAAGTATCTTTTTGGCAGAAAATTCCCTAAAGATTGGCATCTTAAGCAATTACAATTAGTAGTCTAATATAGTAGTGTATTTTTTTAATCACTGCACGCAAAGATCTGATGCTCGTGTTATTTATTTTTGCGCGAATTTGAGTTATTCAATGTTATTAAGATTGTGTAATTGATTTGGGCTGAAACCCTAAACCCTAAACCCTAATGCCCCATACAATACTTAATTGATTTAGAGTTTAAACAACTGTTCTATTACAAGCTGATTCTAAAACCACAAGATTTGGTCGTATTCCTACACATACATATGTTGACTTTTGGGTGCAAATTGCTCTGATCCATGATCAACTCTAAATAAATGTATAACTTACAATAATGGAATTTCATCTCATACAATATTATACCTAAAATTCCAAATAAAATTGTTGGAAAATTGTTGTATACTGACCTTTTGGGAGTGGTTATCAGTCAATAGTCAGTACTAGTAAAGCATTAGCAACGCCAAAAGTTAAAAAAAATTGCCGCCCCATTTGTGTTTGTTGCTTAATTATAATTACGTGGCCTTTCAGCATCCTTTATTTAGATTCCTTCCAAAAATACTTAATCATCATCGATTCATCATCATCCTAATAGAAAGAAAATTAATAGACAGAGAAAGCTGCATTTTTTTTAGTTCTAAAATTCCACTCTCTAATGTCTGTCACTAATGTATTTTTCGGAGTACATAAAAGGGTACAATTTACTCTTTTAATGGACCTTTAGGGTATTGTGGACGGATAACTTTTAAACTAATTGAATAACCCAGTTATACTGAGGCACTTTGTAGAAAAATCCATGTTAAATTAACATTAAGTAATACGAAGTAAGCTATTTATCACCTTCGATGAAACACATAAGATGATAAGAATAACGTCGTTGTCAATGGCCTAAACCAACCCATTACAAAGAAGCATAACTTTCATAATAAAGGTACGTAGTAAGGAACAAAAATTATAAGAACAACTAGTAACATAATTGTCGATTGGAACAAAAATTATAAGAACAACTAGTAACATAATTATCGATTGAAATGATCCCTAACAACACATATATGTATTATGTACGGATCCATCAAAATTAATTAAAACGATTGTCTAGTACGTGAAAGTGAGATCTCATTGCATACATGATCAGCTAAATTAGGGGTCTGTAAACCAATAAACCATGTTTGTTACATTAGTTTTAGAAAAATGTAATTGCCACCGTCCTTTAGATCACCTCCCATGTGAATTGTGATATCACTTACTAGTTGACAACTATTTGTGTTTACGTACTATGCCATTTGTAATTTCTTATCACGCTTTCTACTGTTCAAATGATGTTGGATTATATTACTCCTTTTTTAAAAAAAAAAAAAAAATTATTTTAGTTCACCAAAATATCTAAGTTATTATTTCAGTTGTCATGTGTTATTTATATAATATGTTCCTCCAAAAATATCTAGCCATTTCTGTTCATGTCAATTCTTGGATTTTGGAGTTATTTGTAATTTAGTTGATTTTATCAATTAATTTATGCAAAGATGTTCTATAATGCTTGAAATAGAGATTATTTGTTTATTGTTAGCAAAAGGGGGCAATTTTATTTATTAATAGGGACCGAAATTGATAGGGAAAGATTTCACCAAAGGACATATATAATCAAGCAATTATACAAAATCTTAA